AACAAGTTGCTTTCTGCCACAGAAGTCAGCCAGTGAGGGTGCATTTTCTTTTCCTTTTGCCATTGACCTTGCAGCCTTAGTTATGCATTTTTGTAACTAGTGGCCCCGTAATGGGTAGCTCTTTAAACAGCTAATCGTTATCTGGCAGCTAATCATTATCTAGCATTCACAGAATGGTGACTTGAGCCTTAGCTGGCCTTTTGGGAGCTTTCTGCTGCAAGGAAAGAAGGAGATAACTTACTAGGATTTGAATTAAACCAGCAATCTCATTTCCTTTGGATTAAAGAGTGTTAAAATAGGAATATGTAGGAGAAGGAAGGTATTAATTTTAAGGTCAGTGCCTTGCTGTCACACGAGTTTTACTGGTGAGTGCCTCTCTTAATTGCAGAAAATGGCTTACTTAGATATCCGATGTAGAAAGCAGATGAATGTGCATCCTTATTTTCCTCCCCTGGGAAGGTCATAGTGTCTCTGAGGCGAATAACAAGCCCTGCCAGTGTATGGTCAGCAGATGCTTTCTGCACTGTGACTGCAGAGAGGAGTGAACTGCCACCATTAATGACTGTCGGGGCTGTTCTTTTGCTTTACTTATTTCACCTTTTATTATGAGTATTAGTTAATGTGTTTTTCAGGTCTTTCATGTCTGCTCAGCAGCTGGTGCCTCTCAAAGCAGGGACAAACTATCTTAAAGGATAAAAATGGGAACAGATTTTATTTGCATTGCTGACATCTGTGTCTTACCATTTTTTAGCATCTTTGCCACACTATGTACCCGACAGGTTGCAAGAAGACTTGTACTGACATGGGCAAAAAGGTTGCATCTGGTTAGAGATGAACTGTAGCAGTTCACAGGGTAAACAGCCCTAATTCAGGATTTTGCTACAATTATCCAACTTAAGCATCAAGATGAAGGCAATCTTATGAACTGACAACTATTTTAATGATTAACTTGTTTTAATTGACCCTGGAGTCATTCTGGTTTTTATTTTTTTTTATTATTTGTAGAATGTTATTACATTTTTATCTCTCCAAATCCATAAACTTCTTTTTAAAAATCTGTATTTTCTGTTCTGTCCTTGGACATCACTAGTAGGTTGTCCCTCATGTTGAGAAGGTTCATGCAGGAAGGATAACTTACTGATCCAAGGAAATTGTCAACAGAGTGCTATGGGCATTGGCAGAAATTTTGCCTTGCATGGTGCAAACCACAGCATGAACAGTGGCTGTGTGCCTCGTGGAGGCAAAAATGTTGAACTTCTCTCTGCTGTTGCATTAGCATGCCTTTAGATATGGCATAAGGTCTGCCTGTGTGTGTTGCAGGTTTGTGTCACAGCCCTTGTCACCAGGCTGACCTTGTCTCATAGGAGATGGCATTTACCCTAATTTTCTCCTAGACTCTAGAGTGACCAGGTTCATTTTTAGAGCAGAAGTGGGTCAGTGTGCTGCTCTGACTTATGGCTGGCATGTGTTCGAAGAGTGGTCTGGTTTCCTCTCATCTTGCACTGAACCATTCCCCAGTACTGGCAAAGGCCAGTGTGGAGGTTTGATTTGCTGAAATGGGCAGTTACTGCTTTTGAGAGAACAGAGAGAGGCTCTATTAGCTACAGGAAGCCAATAGCTCTTCACAAAAAACCCTTGATGTTCTGGACTGAGCTGTAGTTGGTGCTAATTTCAGCTCTTAAGGGAAGTCTTAATTATCATATGAGGCCAGAATATTTTTAAGAAAAAAATGAAGACTTTTTTTTTTCTGCTGCTTTTGTCTCACTGCTAAAGATGCCAGAAGAGAGACCATCCCAGTCCTTCAGGGAGTGTTTTCCTAGAGCAGAGTAAAAGAAGATAGGTATGATAATTATATTTAGTGTTTTGTGGTCTTAGCCCTCTCACATACTGTGATTTCTCCTCTAATACAGTGTATTTTATAGCAGCATCTGCTATGAAACAGCTTTAGTACATGGCAATCCCAGCACAATTTCAGCTTCAGCTCTATAGTGAAGCAACAACAGTAAACTTCTTGGCCAAAATTACATGTGCTTGAAGAAACCTGCCCTGTAGAGTCCCTTCATGTGTCCTGACTCAGTACAGAACCTTTGACTCATAGACTCATTAAGGTTGGAAATCACTTCCAAGTTCATTAAGTCCAGCCTTTGACCAAACACCACCATACCAACTAAACCATGACACTGAGTGCCACATCCAGTGGTTTCCTAAATGCTTCTATCCTCAGAATTTGTAGCTTTAAGTACCCTTACAGGGGTCAAACCCAGAGCCTTGCTATTATTAGCACCATGCTGTAACCACTTCAGATAATCTCATGCATCAAATACTTGGGAAAAAACTATCTTTATTTAAAGAAGTTAAAATAAATTTTTTTAGCTTAAGTTCATTTTAACTGTTTTGAAGTGACTTATGTTATAATGACAGGAACGTAAGTACATACATAAAAAATATCTCCCGGATGTTAACATATAGAAAGGAATGTTTTGTAGTGAGAAGAACTGGTCCCTGAGACTGAGATCAGAGTTGTGTTTCTATGTCCACCAGAATTACCATGAACTCTAGTAGATTGTTGAGTTGAATTGATTTGACTAAATACAGTAGAGTTTGTGTTTCTCAATTGTACTTTTCCCAGACAAGAATTTAGACCTATTTTTCTTATATTTTACTTTTCTAGATCTGTATGCATATTTTTTCCCCTTGGATTTTTTACAGAATAAATTAATTTAGAGGTACTGTCATGGGACATTTATTTGATGCTCATTCAAAAGATCAAAACACACTTTTGAGCCAGAGACTGGATTCTTTGTATGAAAAAATGTTCCTCCTGGTTGAAAAGACATGGTTTGCAAACTAATGGAGCCTGAGATTCTATTTCTGGTACATATTAACTACATTTTCTGAGAACAAACCAATTTGTGTAATTACTCCAAATTCCTTCCACAGCTAGAAGTCTGTACAACTCCCTACTGATGGTCTTTTCAGTATTATTCCCATATCCATGCACTTATTCCAGTTAGATCTTTTACAGAAATACTACTTCAAGAATTCTCTTTAGAGAGTATGCTTTATAAAGTTTTAGATCATCCATATGGTTTGATTGTTAGTTTTGTTATTTGCTTACTGGAGTCTCTCTTTGTTTACTTCTTATTCATATATTCCAAAGGGACCTGAAAGCCTTAAGCAGTTCCATGATCCTGTAGTGGGGGACACCCTACTGACTGAAAGAAAGAAAATCTCAAGTGAAGAGAGCTTAAAGTCGCTAAGAGATAGGAAGTAAATAGGTGTAGAAAAGGAGGATAAAATGAGCCAAGGTTTCAGGAAAAACAAAGAAGGATGTAGTCTCTCTGAAATCAAATTAAATGAGGATATTGGTGGTTAAAATGTATGTGAGTGCAAAGCAGAAGTTAAAACACTCTCCTTTTCGATGATTCTTGATCTGTGTCCCAAGGTCTTGATAGTCAGGAGAGATGCTGGTCCAGAGTGATGGGTCATGCACCTGCTGCCAGACACACTTTGTTTTAGCCTGGTATGGGGCAGCCCCAGAGCTTCTTACCAACGTGAGACAAGGCATCAAACATTACCTGTGTGGCACCAGTTTCCCTTCAGACTTCTGAGCAGAGAGGTGCCCATGGTGAGCAGTGAGGTGCTCACTCTGCTGGTCAGTGTGGTGTAGGACTTCCTTTGACCAGGCTGAGATCAAGTCAGTTTCCCTGTGAGCAGCTGTGCTCTAACAAACAGGCTCCTACATTCTCTTAAGGAGTGCACCTCAAACCAGAGGCACCCATACATTGTAGCTGCTTTCAACAATAGATTCCACATGTTGTAGAAAACAGAACAGGATTTTCTGATCAAAACACAAAACTAGCAATATAGCATACATATTTTCTTGCCTTTAGCCTGATCTTGATTTAATTTTTTTTGTATTTGAAAAATAAAGACCAAAAGCATTTGATGTCAGATGTCTAAAATGACTGTGCTATACATCATGCAAGTGACTGCTGGCTTTTGAAAAAGCTGTAATTGTAATGCCTTTCCCTCCCTCTAGTAAATGGACATAAATATTCACAGGGCTGGGTACATTAGGCTAGGTAGATTATTCATTCATTTGCTGGAAGAAGTATTTGCAAATAAATGCTATTAAAAAAAACAAACACTGAAAATCTGAAAATCTCCTTCATAGTCCTTTAACCAATGCATTACAGCATAACTGTTTTTGGCAAGACACTAATAGGTAAGTTCTTCTGAAGAGTAAGTCAGTGAAAAAAATTAATGGACGTTTGAATTGTTTTTCTAATTTTGCATACAAATATTGATATTGTACGATACTGAATAAATTTATTGCATATGCAGTAGGGCTTACATCCCTAACAGTGAAACCAGGGGGGATTTTTTCAGTGGATTCTGCTGGATTTTATTTGAGAGGTATACATTTCATTGGCAGAAGAGAGAAGGCAAATACTCATTTTCATTGTATTCCTTTACTACTTAGTTATTCTTAGAGTTTCCATTAGTTTTGGAGCTCTAGTGACTACTTCTGAGTTGGTCTTCTTTTTTCAATCAAGCATTATTATTATTATTTTGTTAGCATACCTTTCTCCTCAGAAGAAGGAAATTGCCTTACCCTCAGAGCAGAGTTCATCAGAGTCATGTGCTGAGCAGATGTTGAGTCTAAGGCCTCTACTTCCAACTCTTTTTCTAGTCAATGAAGAAAGATGAGCACTTCTGGAGTAATTTGTCTCTGAAATCCATCTCAGGATGTCAGGGATTTCACACTGAAATTGTGAAATACGCCATTTGGTGTACAGTGTTGAGATGATGGTGTTTGTCTAAATACCAAACCAAGGCTCAAAGAAGATGGGGTGAACACCCCTATGAGTGACAGTCAGTTCCTGGTGCCATGTCAATGGCTTGGCAATGTGTTTATGGAAAAGTAGTCTTTGACAGGATGGAGTGTGATGCTGTGGAATGTCCTATGGATTTACAGTCTCAATTTCCAATTTCAGGGAGGAGAACATTGCTATTATCAGGGAAAAATTCGAGGAAATCCTGTATCATTTGTTGCCTTGTCAACATGCCATGGATTACAGTAAGTCTGCTGTTTTGTTTTTAATGACCTTTGTTTATTACTCTTTTAAGCAAAATCAAGTTGTTTATAGTAAAATAATACATGTATATTGTAAAATAAGTGCTATTTATTTTCCTATTAGTTTGTCACCAATATTAAATAATCAACAATCTTCAGAATTTCCTTTTTTTCTAAACTGAGGACTTATGGCAGTGGCCAGGTAGTGTTTTAGGATAATTTATTATAGAGATAGCAGATTATAAGTAGCTGAAAACACCCTATTCTAGAATAAAAACAATGCCAATGAATTATTTGGAAGTTGTGTTCTTTTCTTGTTGCTATAATGATGTATACTTTATTTCTTTTCTAGTCTCTTTACAAAGAAAATGTCAGTTTAGAATTTATCTTGCACTATCCACTTTTGTTAACAGAATTTCTGGCCTTAAGCTGTGTGTATGGGGTAATACCTTGCATATAGTAAAATCTTGAAAAATCTAGAAGAAAAGGTATAAGAGGGTGCAATAATTTCTATTTGAAGTACATAATTTTACTTATAATTAAAGCATCTGTCAACTGAAGATTACATGAAGCTGTGTATGGATTGTATAGCTTTTGGACCTGTCTACTTTTGGCACTATTGAATGATGCTAGTCAGATTTTCAGATCAACCAAGTGCCTGTCACTTTTGGGAATTACAGGATCTCAGCACTTCTAATACTGACATCAGCTTAAAAAATCATGGCACCAAGTAAGCCTTTGTGGGATTACCTGAGCTTTACCCTTTGCTGTGGAAGAAAGGTTTAGCTGATGGAAATCTTCCCCAGCCTATTGTCTATCTGCAGCTATTCTGTAGTTCTGGTATCAGTCATATAAATACTTCCATTTGAGTAGCGTCTTTCTTTTATAGTTGTGTATTTGTTATGAAGAGGAGAATGCATGCAGAAGACTTGTCATCCTTGCACTTGTCTGATTTACAGCTGTGTAGCTCAAGAAACTTGAGCCCAGTTTAAAGAATAGACAGTGAGCCTAAAAATAGTAGCTTCCTAATGCATTCTGAGCCACTGTGTGCCTTCCATTAGCAGTGATCCATTAGGTCTTGGCCCCTGCTAACTCCTAGGAGAAAAAGCAGAAACCAAGGAGAGCCTGCATATGTCTTTCCCTGCCTTCTTTTTGTGAGTTTATGCTAAAAACTGACTGTTATGCTGCTCTGTATTCTTAAATGGCCTAATATCCAAATTGGTCCCTTCTAAAGATACATGATGGATGATGCATTTTTTTCATTGTATGATTCAGCTATCTCTTGAGAGGTATCTCCCCATCTCCTAAACACCTCCTTTTCCCCCCCGATATAAAAAAGTTTCAGCCGAGTTCTTTCATACAAGCTTACTCTAATAAGGCTGGTATTTCAAGCATCCAGTATGAGAAAGTAATGTTTCCTGAGCTGTATTAAACTCACATTCTCTGACACTGCATTTCCATCATTGCAACTAGCTCCTATACAGTTGATTTTAAATGACAAGGAATTACTAGAAACTTACACTTGCAATCAGAGTATCTTGCTGGAATAAAGGTAGCTGGGGAGAGTTGTCCTCTGTAAGGTCTGTGGGGCAGGAGCTTTACTTTCATGAATTTTAGGGAGTACATAAGACAGAACAGACGCCTTTAGGAGAATAACAAGCTTCATATTTCTAAAGGTCATGTCAGTCTCCTCTTTTGCGTATTTGTACCTCTAGATCTCAGCCAGTAACAGCAGAATTTTTCATACATGAGAAAAAAATGTCGGGGTTTTTAATCACAAGTTATGAGTTCTTCTTTTAGTAATGTCTGTTTTGCATCCTTCCTTTTATTAGTTAAATCGATCGCATGACTGGCTGACAGAATACCTGAAATTATAGATGTCTTCTTAACGACTTGGCAAATGACACAGTGACAAATGGCTAATGACAAATGTACCTCTGCAGCCTTAACTTCGAGCAAGCCATTTTTGCTTGGATTTTTGTTTTGTTTGTTTTCTGTGGGCTGTGCAGCAGCCACGGTTTCCTATGAGTTAACACAAGGAAGACTTTGGATGCAAAGGCCAGCGGATGCTGGGATATAAATGAGCTATAGCGGGCTCCCGGTCTGGGAGGCGAGGGCACAGCCAGCAGGCACGGCTGGGATCTTGCTGCCGGCTGCTGGTGAATGTAAAAACTGCCGTCCCTGCCGTGAATTGGACCGTCACGGCTACAAATGTGGTTGTCTGAAGAATACACATCATCAAAATGCAGGCTTTTGAAATGCTTTGCTTTCTCTCTAACAGCCACGTGCGTGTGGTTTATTCAGAGCGCACTAGGTCTGTGGTAGGTGGTTGGAGAAGAGCCATGAATGCTTTGAGTGTGCAGGTCAGGTGTGTAGGTCAGCTGTGACTATTATTCTTGTCACTGCTGAGTGACTCGATCAGAGGTCAGTGCTACTGGGAGCAGCAGTCTCATGAGAAGCTCTTCTCCCACAGCGCTTCAACTTGCAGACCGTGCTAAACTAAAGTTCCAATTAGAGGGAAGTTTTTCCTGATAAAGAGCTACAGGATGTTCCCCAACCTCACTGTATTTCCAAGCAAAAAAGCTTCAGCAGATGTTAGAATATTTTGCTTAAACTGTATAGACAGTATTTATTTTTGAAAGAATAGGCACCTGTAATTTGAAAGGAGAAGCAGCTTTACATTGTAGTTAAACTTGATATATGTTATACAGTCAGTAACCCAGGTTACTTCTGTGAATGACAGTTTTGCTGATTAAAAAAATGCTGCATAAGAAAAAAGAAAAGTATCTGCTTTTGTTGCCTGTTATTCCTGTTTGTTTTGGGTGTTTTTAACAATAACGTAAGTAAATAAAAAATCTCACTTTCATGCCGTTGTTGTGTGCTATGTTCAAGTATAGGCATGTTGTACTCATATTTAGGGCCAAGTTTAAACACCTTGGCAGTGGCCTTTTGAAAAGAACATGCTGATACAGCCTAATCCCAGCCATGTGTGTATGCCACTGCAGTAAAGGCAAAATTACTTAAAAAATATTCTGGTTTGGTTGAAGATCAGAATGTATTGATACAAGAAATAACCTTTGTTTTTCTGCTCTTACAGAGTAATATTTGTACCAACACTTTCTTTAAATGAAATGCTAAGGGAAGAGTTAATTAAAAAACCATTAAAACCTAAGGATGATTCAATTCAGTACCATTTTTATTTGGTGAAAGCTATGCATATGTTCTAAATATGTGTTCCTAAAGAAAGGTCCCTTATTTATCTGTTGCAGGTAGATATTTCCTGCATTGGAGCAGGGGCTTTGAACTGGACTTTCAGTCGGTTAAATTAGTCCATTTTGTGTTTATATGTATTGTAGAGAAGGTTTCTGGAAGAAAGAAGAGCTTCACCGCAGAAGAAAATCTTTTTTGAAATGAAGAAACAAAAGATTGATCCAGAATTGCATTCAGTTCTGGAAACCATTTTAAACCCTTTCTTTCCCAAATATTTAAATTTTTAAAGTATATTAACTGTAAGAAGTTACTTCCATGTTGCACTAGTGTTTGTTTACTAAATCTGTATTTATATTTCCTGCTCTTGACAGTGGGATGTTCTATGATGGAAATCATACTTACCTTATTGAACCTGATGAAAACTACACTTCAGATGTAAGTAGAACTTACAGTAGTCCTGCTGTGTTTTTTGAGTGCAGTGATCCATGGGTACAGTGTAGGCATAAGGACATGGGACCACAGGGTCATCCCCTCATTCCCAACTCATTTACCTCATATCCTCCAGATGTGAAACTCCCTCTTCACAGACAAAAGCAGACCTCCAAAAATTAGACATTGGTGTGTCTGTATGTGTGTGCTCTGTAGCATTTGGCTATAGAGCACTGCAGCACTAGAGGAGGGTCCCTTGGAGCCAGCAACAGAAGCCTGTGAGTGCCCAGTGCCCTTCTCTGGCCCTTGCAACTCGCATGTTCACTGGTGTATGTGTTGGGTAACAAGAACCTTTGGAATTGTCTGTTTAATGCTCATGAGATGGATTAATCTTTCCTGATGTAATATGGGTAATTACTTTCTATTTCAGGATGACTTCCATTTCCACTCTGTTTACAAATCCAAGTTGTTTGAATTTCCTTCAGTCGACCTGCCGTCTGGTATGATTTTTTATATATTCATGACTTACTGAGTGTTTTAGTCTAAGGCCAGATTTGTTGATTATACTTGATTGATCATCTTCTGAGAGTATATTGTTTTGTTAGATTTACCTTTTTTCACCCAATGAAGTTAAAAAAATACTGAAAAAAACCCCATTTTGAAATAGTGAAAGAGCAGGAAAATAATCTGAAGTGATGAAAAAACCCTGAATACAATGCATGAAACCTCTCCTAGACCTTCATGCTGTGATACATTTTTCTCTTAACAGGTCATGTGGTCTGTGGGCTGGATTATGTGCTAGTAGTTGTAGAGAGGAAAGGAAAACCTAGAGGTGATGAAAATAAACACCACATTGATGGTGGTTGATAACTCTTCATGGGTTTTTCCTGTTTAGAGATACAGGGTGAGTACATGGAGTGAGCATAAGCCTGGGAGACAAGAAGTTACCAAATGTCATTGCTGTTCAGTGACTTTCATCTCCAGTCTGGTCAGCATCTCTCACAGTACTGGCTATGATGAGGGCTGAGCATTTCAGTGCAAATGAATTTGGAGGCAGAAGTGGCTTCAAGTGCTTGTAGTGATGAATGCCTATATTGTGTGTGTGAAGGGAGAAAGTTTTTTGTAAAAAATGGGTTTTCATCTGAGAGGTTGGCTTGTTAATTGAAGCTAAAATTGCAGTATTTATGACATATCCCCATTCTGTCAAGCATTTGCCAGTTTTACAGATGTGTTTTCCTGCTCTACAACATATATCCAAGATAAATATAACTGTTCTTTTTAGACACTGACATTTTGGTAGAAACCATCTCCAGACTAATTTCTTCAGGAGAATTAGGGATGTTTGGTCATCTTGCTACAAACTATTTGTCCTATGGTAACATTTGGATCTGAGATCTTGCCTTAGAGCACAGTTTGTGCAGTTTTTCCAGTTGTTAAGCACAGCAGAATCATTCAGGGAGCTAATGAGAAAAGAAAAAAAAAAAGAAAAAAAATAGCTTAAATTGCTTGAGGTTGCCTTAATTTCAGTTCTGAAGAAGGAATCTGTCTGAATCTAAACAAAAACAGTGTCCCAGCTTGGTGCCTCCTGTCCTATGATGATGGTTGCCCAGGTGAGGTAGAGGCAATGCTGGGATGGAGGGACACAAGCACAAAAGGCTCATGACTTTTGTGCAGGGCCTTGATCTCTGTGTCAAAAACTTCCTATGTACCTGCACCTTACACATGTACCGTGCTTATTACCTGTGCTTGCAGAGATGGTAGTGTATTGAGAGCAATTTATTGTACATAAAGTCAAATAGTAAAGTGAATAATTTATCTCATTTTCTTGAGGACATAATTCAAAAGAATGGAAATAATGCAACAAATGCTGAGTTTAAAATAAACCTTCTCTCTCAGGTTGTTAAACTAAGACACTGCTAGTGTTGGTACTTATTTTCTATAAGCTGTTTTATAAGATTTCCTAATTAGTGAAATTTTATGTTTTCAAGATTTTGGAATAAAATTGTTTTCTGCTTTTAAAATTATGAAAAGGGATTAATTGCAGGTAAATGCCCCAGTTTCACCTCCACTAAAGCTTCTTGATTTTCAAAAAACTGTCAAACTAGGGCTTCACATCTTGTTTTGTTTATTTGTTTTCCCACAAAAATCTAGACATGCTTGTACAGTTTTGATTTTACTATAGATAACAAAGAAATCGTTGCTGGCTTTGCTGTACAAAGCCCAGTATGTGACATAATGGAACACGTTGCCATCTAGATAGAACCAGAATCACAGGATTGTGGAAGAGGTTAAAAAGGAAATTCAGCTGCAGAGTGCTAGTCTTCTCAGTTATGCAAGTATTTGTAGTGTGGATAAGAGGTACAGGGTGCTAAACTTTATGTTTAGGGTCCCATGTATGGAGAAATAGACTAATTCACAGTCTACTGTCCCACGTGCCCACACTTGTTTTTGTAAAATTGTTTGAAAAGGTATTTCTAATGTTTGTAGTGAAAATTACATGTGCATGTATAACATTCCTCATTAGGAAACCCACCATTTTTTCTTTGGCTGTGATTATTCAATTTATCTCTGTCTGTAATTCATGTTCCATGCATAGCTCCTGAGGATAAGAGCTCCACCAGTACTTCTGCTTCTTCCCTGCCAGTGTGGAGAGGTCTGACTGCTATCTTGACTTGACTTCTTTCTCTTTAAATAATATTTGCAATTAATTACTAATGGTATTGTTGTGATTGATTTTTTGAAAGTACTACAACAAAATTGTTATTAGCAGTAGCAAGCACTGTGCTGGCGTATGTCATCATAACTACTCTCATAATTTATCTATTTGACTGGCCTAAGGAGATTTTCCATGAAGCCAAGATTTTTCTCTTATCTTTAGAAGAGCGTGTGTGTAAAGTAAGATTTCCACTCAGCCTTTCCAGTGCATTAGGAATGAACTGGATAGATCACCAGCTTCAATACTGGTGTTAGAAAGGGAAAAAAAATAATGTGATAGGGATTATTCAGTATCAGTGATAGTAGAGGCACACACTATTATATCACAGTTCAATAGCAATGTACTTTATACATTTGTTTGCTCCTTGGGTATTAAAAAACCCCCACAAACTGTTGCAGAAAAGAATTTATTGTACCGTGCTTTGCAATGGTCTGAGGAATAATGAGGATTTTAAATAAGGAAGCTTGGACAGATGACTTGGCATGCTTAGAGCATTTGACTTTGTATTTACTAGACTGTGTTTTTTCTCACAATCTCTGTTGAGATCTACAATGTGCTGGCACGATTTTAAATAACAATATGTTATCAAAGGTGCTGTTTTTCAAATAATACATATCAGATGTCCTTTTCTTTTGGGATCACATTAAAAATACGTAGATGCAACACTTAGGAATATGGTTTAGTGGGACTCGGCAGTATTAGGTTTAAGTTGGACTCGATTTTAGCAATCTTTTCCAAGATGATCCTATGATTTTGTGAATCTTCATGACATTTTTTCAAGGTAATATATTCCCATCAAAATATCTGCTAGGCTCTCTCAACTATCAACATTCCCTGTGATTTTGCTGGTCATGTTCTTTTGCCTGAGGGTCCTTGGCAGGAAATGCAACCTGTATGCATTTATCCATCTTGTGAGTCATAAGGCAGTGTTAATATGTGTTAATGTGTTAATGGTAATGGCTGCATCATTTCCCTTAGAGATGACTGACTTCCAGTTGAGGGTAAAATAATCACATTTGCTGGTAAAGTTATCTGAGACCCATACATACATACTGTAAATTATGATTTTATTGATTGAAAAGTGTTATTTTTACCAGTTTCATTATGCATGTTATAAAACCAAAAATGACAGGTTGAGATCCAGTTGTGTGGCACTAGAACAGTCTAAACTAATTAACATACATAAAGCATAATCAAAAACATTGTAAAAGTTTTTCAATATTTGGTTTCTCATTGCTGCAAGTTCAAGAGTCTGCAGGTCTTTAAGCAATAAATAAGGAGCTTGGGTGTGATTTAATTTATCTTTGGTCTTTTTTCTAAAGAAAGTCCTCAAGTGCGTTGGTGTAACCATGAAAACATTTTTAAGCAGAGAGCCTATGGTTGTCCAGGTTGCTCCATGGAAAGGTATCTGCAAACCTCACATACCAAAATGACACTATAGTCCCTAATTTACCCAAGACAATAACAGTTAGTCATGCTTCGTTTTCCTGGTTTGTCTTATTAGTAATTTGCTGCTCCTGGTTAAGATTTTCACTTAGGCCTGGCAATATCTTGTCAGATGGGCAATTCAATTTCGTGTTTTCAGATTTTGGTGATATGGCAGCCCTGTCATATTCCTATCATCATGGTTTTAATCCTATTTTTGACTTTCCTGCAGAAATTGTACCATTAATATACAGCAGGAAGTGAAACTCTGAGAATCTTTCCTGTCTCACCAGCAAAAGTGAACCCGTCAGGAATTTGTAAAACAAGAAGAAGTTGTGTACAAAAGATATGTGAAGTGGAAGTCCCTTAATTTACACAGCTCCAGCAATCCTATAGTGCTATAGGGGTGTTCTATGAACTTCTCTGCAGGACTGGTAAAATCACTGGAGCACTGAAAGAAGTTTTCAGTTCCTTGAAACTCAAAGGATGTCCAAAGCTGCAGAAGGCACAAAAGAGGGAAAGCAGTAAAAGGAGAAAAACATTATTACTAACAAAGCAACTGCAAACATTTAATTTGCATGAATCAGAGAAAGATCTTGGGGTTATGTGAATAGCAAATGCATTTATACAAGATAAGGAAAGAGCTTTATTTCATATAGGGAAAAGAGAGGCAGGGGCTTTGAATCTAAAATTAAAGAAGGAAAATGACTTCTTGGACATTTGAAAGGGTGAGAGCAAGTGCTGTCTTCTGCTTAGTTTATAATGTGTCCTTTTCCATGAGGGGCTAGTAATAGATTTGGTGAAAAGGATTTGGCAAAAGAATAAACTACTTGATGCTTATGATTAGAGGTTTAAGAAGTTAAAGACACAGAGGGATTAGCAGGGAGGAATATTGTATTGGTAGGAGAGCATTGCCAAAGTCTCATAAGGTTTCTCCCAACTCTGACATATTTTGCTTTGTGAATATAATCGTCTTAAAGCATTAATTCTGCCTTCCATGCTCTTCTTATTAATTTAGGTAGCTATTGCAAGAGCTCTGTGAATGTCTGCTGAATTCCCGAAAATGTAATTCACTCCATGGAAGCACTATGCTAATAATATTTCATGCCCAGTATTGGTGAAGTTTTGGCACAGAACATCTGCTGTGCTTTCTGAAGCGTGACACCCACAGATCATCTGTTTCAACAAACCCAGATTATCACTAGTAGTTTTTAATAAGAGCCCTGTTACTGGGAAGCATCTGTAGGCTTGCCCCCTTCTAGCTGGAAACTTGAGGAAATGAGTTGTTGCTGCATCGGAAGCGCTGAAGAATGCCATACTACTGTCATGTTGCATCAGGGACACTAATTGCTAGGTTATATTTTTGTAAATATTCAATGTATTTGTCTGTGTTTTCTGCTTAGAGTTCTGGCAGATGAATACTACATCACAGAATTTTGTTGTAAGGCCAAGACACAAAAGAAGGAAAAGGCAGGTAAGTGCCAATATGCTTGTTTATAAGGAATGTGCCATCAAGTTTGTTTCATGTCTGCTGAGTTGGTTTGTCCAGATGGAGTCCTGCTGCTCCTGCTGTTTTGGCATGAGATCTCTGCATCAATACAGCTAATACAAAATGAGTTATCTAATGTGAGCTAAACATTGATGGGTTCTCTTGGACAATGCCTACCTGAAGAGTTAGGAAATTTTAAAATACTGCTACATTGCAAATTCAAAAGTAGGCAAAATATTTTTGCTCATTTTGAGTATAGTTTTATCAGAAACTCCCATAATAAAACCTGCTTATTTTTTTATGTTGAAATAGTGACAAGTAGCTAGTTTATCTTACTTTATTTTGTTTCAAAATAAATATTCTAAACAGAGACTTCATTCCCTTTACTATTAAAGTGGGGAAGCCACTAAGTGCAGATGTTTGTTACCAGTTACACTCTCTCTGTATTGTTAGACTCTCTTAGAATTACATTCTCTCCATAGGTTCGTCAGATTCCACGTAAAGTTGAAGAGGAAACAAAATACATTGAGTTGATGATTGTAAATGATCATCTAATGGTAAGACTGACACTTTTCAACATCTTGCAATTAGCATCAAATTGTCTGAATTTATCCAGACAGCATAACAATAAAGGACACTATAAGGCCAGAATAAATTCAGTATGTCCTTAATAGAAGAGATTATGGTCTCATTAGCCATTGAGGATGAAGATCAAACCATTGATCATTGGTTTTGAATTTTGGCAAGTTAACTTCACCAAGAATGCAACTTGGCCTGAGATATATCAGATGAAAGAAGGGTTAGAAAGTAACTAATGACAGTGTGACTTACGCTGATGATTTTCTTTCTGGCTGTCCTGAGCGTTTCTCTTAGTTACAGGCACTCAGCAATCCACAGTGCAGTTTCAATTGTGCAGCAGCTGTTGAGAATGGGGATATTAACAGTGACTAGATTTTTTTGATATGTCCCAATCAATGTAGAGAAAATTATTTTGTTAAACTTATATGCTTTGTCTGGGAGAATACTGTGAATTTTTTTAACATAGTGGAAAAAGACATAATAAAAGTGTATTGAAGAAAAGCCAGACTCATTCAAGTGGGAAAAAGCAGTTTTATGTCAGTGAAAATGATTTATTAATCATCTAATGAAGGAAATATCAAAGGAAACAACAAATTCTTCATCACTTGCAGTGTTCAAAGGTAGCTTCAAGCACAAACAATGGATTTGCTTGTGGAAATAACTGGATAAAGTTCAGCCTTGTAGTGCCTGTCCTGACTGGTGATGTTAGATGACTTTATGGTCCACTGTGGCTTTAAAATCAAAATATTTCTATGAATCTTGTCTGCTTCTTCTGTAATCTGCAGTAATTCTCTCCAGCAATATTGGCAAAAATAGACATGAGAGTGTACAAGTGTACAAGAAGTGTGCTGCTGTCCTTAATCAGTGTACTCCTCCACCAGCTCACTTTGGAGATACAGGAATAAATTCTTGGATTAAAACTAATAATACTGATGAAAATAATATTGATGAAAATTCCTTAAATCAGTGTAACTGTGTAATCAGTGTTTGATCCTAAAGACCTGAAGTCACAACTTTTCCCTTGGGATCCTATCTGTTCAGGCAGATTTTCTTCAAGGACAGTGTTTCCTAATTTTGTGTAATCACAGCTACTGCAAGAGTAGTCCAGTTAGGAGTTTATTCTCTTAAGTGCCAGTGATCAAAGAAGCCAAATAATTTTCTCCTGTGAGCAGGAAATATCATTTGCTCTGGGCTTAACTTCGTTGTTTTTGGTGGTTTTCCCCCCATTCTTGCTTGAAAGGATGCCTTTCCTACACCATAGTTGTGGGGAACTTCTTGCCTGCTAAAAGATTCTAACTTCTAGAAATACGGACAATTTTCATTCCAAAATCAAGCATCATGGGGCACAAGATGGCAAAACATTTCTGAAAATCTTATACACTTTATCTTAAATTCTTCTGAGATACCTGTGACTTTCATGTCCACAATGCTCATTCATAACTGTTTTTTATTCTGCAAATAGGAGGAGGAGGAGGACAGCTGTTTGCAGTGCCATTTTTGTAACACTGCACTACAAATTTCAGTAAAGGTGCCATTGGAGTCTGATTGCTGAAGTGGTTTGAATCAGTTACTATGGCATTATGAGAGTGTCAAAGTAGACAAGAAGAAAACCAGAAAACAGCTTAAGAGAGAAAATTGAGAAAAAAGGGAGTCTGATAGATTAAAACATGGATGCAGGCACTTCTGGATAATATATCTTAAGGAATCTCAGCTATGGAAGTTTTTGTTGCTAATTTCTACATTGGTATTTGTGATTAATATTAAAATTGACAGCAATAATGATGAGAGTAACAGAATGTTCCTGCTCTTGTATAATTTTCTGGTAAAGATCCTAGCGTACTTTCTAAAGAGGAATTGACATCCTCACAACAGCTGTTGTAAAGTATATCAGTAATGTGCATTTCTGAACAATTTTCTACTATTGGTTATAAACAACAAGAGACAAAACCTTGTGCAGGGGCTTTATTGTTGATACAATTGCTCTTTACTTCACGGTGTTTTGGAAATGGACCTTGTTTTTCCGAAATCTGTACCAGTTACTGGTCTGTGCTTGTTTCACAGTGTAAAAAGCACCGTTTGTCAGTCGGCCATACCAACAGCTATGCTAAATCAGTTGTGAACATGGCAGATTTAGTAAGTATCACTCAACTATATGTTCTTTTACGTGTGAGATGAGTCATAAGATTCTCCTGACGAAAGATGCAGGAGTTGTCAGTTCATGGTATAACAATAATACGTTAATACAGTAATGTATATGAAGATTACAAATTTTTATCTAGAACCACGATCATTCATGGTACAAAGGCTTTGCCTAACATAAAGCATCAGAGGGGTTTAATTTTGTGGCTTTAAGCATTTAGGTATCCAGCTGGATTAGTCCCTTGAGTCTGAGTTTTAAAGAGCACCTTAGACACTACAATTTCTAGCACAGGATCCCTGTTTTGGCAATTTCAAACCCAAAGGACAATCTGAAATTCTAATGCATTAAAATTTCTCAAGAAAAAGTGCACTTGAGTAAATGAGTTAGAATAGGGACATACACGTGAACTATGTGGATTATATTTGTGATGTTAAATTGGTTGATTTAACATTGGTGCTGGCTCTTGCACCTCACCACAGGAAAGTATTAGAAAAAGAAAAGTATTACTAGAAGAAGAAAATGCTTGAAAGTACATAGTGTAGAGTGTTAAGGCAGCATTGAAAGGATGTCCCTTTCTTGTGATTCAGCCAGCATGAGCTGAAATACTCCTGTAGACATATATAACAATGAAAAATATGGCTTTATAGATCATTATTCCACATAAGAGGGCCCTTGTGTGTCACTGGGTGAGCTGGCTCTTATAAAAGACCCATTAATTTCAAATCTTTGAACTATTTGGAATGTAGTAATTTTTCAAAAATCACTTTTTTCTTTTATGTACCTCTGCCTGTGTAGGCTCAGAGAAGGCTAAGAGAACTGATTGAAGAATTAAGCCTAAAATTTTGGTTTTATTTGGTTTTCATGTTCGTTGGTTTTAAGGGAGATAAAATCACCTACAAGAATGTAAAGTGTGCTAGAATAAGCTAAATATTTAGTTATGTAAAAAGGCAAGCTATAGCAAAAAGGGGTAAACCTCACCTTTGTTCTATTTGACGTAATGTATTTGTTCATTCTCTTAATGTACTAGATATATAAAGAACAACTTAACACCAGGATAGTATTGGTTGCCATGGAAACCTGGGCTACTGATAACAAGTTCACCATATCTGAAAACCCCTTGGTGACTCTACGTGAGTTTATGAAATATAGGAGGGATTTTATCAGAGAGAAAAGTGACGCAGTTCACCTTTTTTCGTACGTAACCTTGTGTGATGTTTTATTACTGGGTTTTTTCCTTTCCTTGGGGGTTGCTTCTCACAAGGGGCTGATGCATCTCCTTTCTATTGTGTGTGTAATCCACAATAATTCAGAAAATAATGTTTTGGATGGGGAGGTGGGAAAAATTAGTGCACAAACTGCCTGCCTGTGCAACTAGAGGTTTGACTCATATTTTAGTTTTAACATACTAAGCCTGAGCTGCATGCGCTGTAATCCTTTGTTATTCTGTGCAATCACCTACTCCACAAGTGCAGCTATCTGAAGGGTCAAGCATGGTTCCACCTCAGAGGCTGGCTTCTTCAGCAGTAGAGCACGGATTATTTAAAGACAGAACATTGGTTTTGAAACCAATGAGGTTTTCTGCTTAAGTGCACTATGGCCTGCTTCACTTTGTTGAATGACCTGCATGCTGCAGGGTTACTGAAGTGTTTCAGATCCTCAAAACAGTTTGTTCTCACAAGACATTTGAGCTATAAGAATACTAAACTGAGAGGAATGTAATTTTCTCTAAATATCTTGTTTTGAAAATAAGATTGATATAATAAAATATGCTTACAAAAATACAGGAGAGATACATGGCTGAGATTTTTGATCCACACAAGACATGACAAACAAATATCTCTGTTGGAGTCTTTTTTCTCTCTGCTGACTGTTTTAGGAGCCTGTAAGAATAAACTTAACTTAAACACCTCACTTCACATGACTTCAGTAGGGTTCCAGGATATACAAGCCCAGTATCCACCCTCAGAATTTTTGCACGTGCTTAGTTACTGCCTTGAAAAAAGCTAGTAAGATCTGCAAGAAGTGCTTGCAGATTTTGGTTTCTCTGTGTCTCAGATCTTCATATCTTATATGGGAATCAGCTTTTTTCATATCCTTCGTGTATCTTCTCTGGTGACATTGTAAAGTCTTTGAGGGAAAAGTCTGGCTCTTGTGAATGTGTGTGGATTGACTAGGACAAAAGAGAGCCCTATTTGGCCTGTAGCTGGGACTCTGGATACCACTGTAATGCTAATTCCAGTGCTATCCATAGCACCACCACCAATGGTGTTTGTGGTATTACATTCAAAGATTGTTTAGAAACAGCAGTTTCTGAAATTGTGTCTGTGAGTGATACACAGCTAAGTTGAGAGGTGGGGGTAGCTGGTGTGAGGGTACAATGGTTAAAAATGAGCTTCCACCTTTAGCACAGTTATCCTATTGTGATCCTTCTTGATGTTTTTCTCTTCTCACCTGAGAAAAATAATTTGCCAGATGGATCAGTACTCTCAGGTGGAGCAGAGTATATTTTGTCTCCAGTAACTGGCAGTTATTCATGCTGATGTGGTCAGCACCAAAGAGGTGATTAGATTTAGGCTCAGAGGCTCGTATCTGTTCCTCGGATAAGATTGGCTGTAGTTCCAGGGAGTTTTCACCTACCTTTGCATCTTGTGCTAATGCATCTCCCCTTGAGTTTTACCACATCAGTACTGCTCAATTAGAGATGTGCTGTTTCACTAGACCTGTGCACTGGGAGAATGGTGTCCTCTCCTGAACTCTGCCTGGAGCATGTGCCAGCAGAAGGCACTCGCTGCAGTAGAATGTCAAGAAACATTCTTGTTTCTGGGCAGATTTGGGTGGTTTGGAAAAATAGTCCCCTTCTTATATTAGGTAGTCTGAAAAGTAAGAAGGAAGATGGTATAAGTTTTCTGGAGATAACTGGTCCTGTGAGATTCGGGAGTGATTATATGTTTTTCCCATTTGTTTTTTGCATAGTTTGCAGCATAGTGGTGGCATCCAGCATTTGCACATGCCAGCTTCTCATCTGGAAATCAGAAGGGTAGATACTGGAACAGGCAGGTGCAAAACTCATGGACAGAGCAGGGTAAACTTCCTTTTCTTTTCATTTTGTTCAAAGGGGGAGTCGATTTCAGAGCAGTCGAAGTGGTGTAGCCCACACTGGTGGAATCTGCTCCTTGCTTAAAGGCGGAGGTGTGAATGAGGTAGGTGGGGATACTGGCATGAGCAAAAAGTGGTGAAAATTTATCTGCATGGAATTTATCAGTGCAGACGTGTTCCTCAAAATATTTTTCTTTTTTTTTTGCTGTAGATGATGTAGAATCTTAGTGCAGCTCTTTAGAAGGGACACTTCAATGAAGAGCGATGACTGAATAAAGTCAATACACTTCAAATACACTTTTAAGCAAATTCTGCAATATCCTGTCATTCATATTTCCAGCCACAATGCCAAGAGAGAGACAAACTTTCTCTTACTTAGCTTGTCTATAAGCCAGTGTTTAGTTTTCATCTCTCTACCCTGAATAAGAGTTACAACACTGTGTATCTGATTTTGCCTTTTTTTGCCTTGATATGAGAACAGCTTCGCTTGAATCTGAGATACCTGTGTGTTACTGATTACCTTTCCTACCTTGCTTGTTTCTTTCAGTTTGGAAAGCCAGACTTAATGGCAGTTACCCTGGCACAGACCTTGGCCCAAAACATTGGCATTTTCTCTGACAGAAGAAAACTTCTAAGTGGTAATTTTATTTGCTTTTTCACTCTGTCTCAAGAGAAAAGTCTTAAAAAGTGGAGGATCTTATCAGTGTCTTTCTGATATGTACTTTTTCCTTCTGTTTCTCACAATGTTGAAGTATTTTTATTTCCTGCAGTAACATGAGAAGGGTCTGACATATTAATTTTCCTCTAATTGAATGCTCTAGTATCTCCCTGCTCGTAATTCCTGACAGCACTGGTGTCACCATTTCATCCAAAATAGACCATAAAGGTGCCTCCCACTTCCATTCATTTCAGGGAGACTGGTGTCCCACCCACAGACCAAATGGCTGCCATCTTATGACACAAGGATGGGAATATACATTATTTGATGTGGGAATAATGAGGAGCTTCCTCAGTACTGTTACATAGAACAGTTTTACCAATACAACTTTTTATCTGTTTTGCTTGATTCACTTCCTCTTGTAGTTTACCCAAAGCCCCTGTTTCTCTGGTAGTTTACCTAAATCTCCAGTATTTGCTACCAGACTGCTACCATTTCTTTTCTGTAACCATGGTATTCAGTTACTTAGTTATCCTTGTCTACTTGCAATGCTTTAATCTCCACCACCCTGCCAGCAACAAGCACCTCGCCTTCCCGCTTCCATGTTATGTGAAGTCTCATCCTGATAAGATTAAAATGAAAATATTGTTTTGAAACAATTTAGATAATGAACTGGAGTGCAGACTTACTGGATTGTGCATGCTTATGTGGCCTATGTTTAAAAAGATAAATTACTCTATTGATTAATGGATTTTTTTTTCAGGCATTATAAAGACAATATATAATGCAGAGATACCTCTGCATTTAAAGGATTTTTTTTTCAGATTATGTAATAGTATTTTAAAAAAAACTCAGAAATGTGTAAGTTGCTCTATCCTACAGACGTGTTCAGTATTCCTTTTCCAGCCACATATTTTTGAGTGGATGTAAGGGCAGGGTAAAAGTGAAAATTATTGTAATGGTGATTCCCTTTCTTTATGGCTGAGAGAGGCAGGATGCTGTTTTGGTAGGGTGAGAGTGCAATTGTCAGACAGAGCTTTGTTTCCTTTCTAATTGTGCTTTTAAAATGGAAGCAATAAACTGATGTTCATGTGTACGGTAAGAGAAGTTATGGAACGTGCAAGTGGAAAGCATTTCTACTGAAATTTAAGTGAGACACAGCTTTGAAAGAGGAGGATTGAGACCAGAGCAAAGTGATCCCAGCTGGCAGGGCAGAAAGGAATTGCATGGGAAAGGGAGGCAGGCAGGGGAGGGAAGAAGGAAGGGAGGGAAGAAGGAAGGGAGGGAGGGAGGGAGAGCAGAGGAAGAAGCTGATAGATTCTCCTGTACTACCTTGTGTTTATTGATCACCATGTTTTTTTTGGTCTGAATTATTGTTTGGGGTTTTTCAAGGGAAGATTTTCAAAATCACATTATCATAGTCGAAGAAGAGAACTAAAAAAATAAAAAAATAAAATTATTATTTTTTTTTTTAACTCTGAAAATTTGGGAAGTGGGTATCATCACACAGAAGACAAGAAAGCTGACTCATGATTTGCAGGTGCTGAAGACTAATACTGCAGCTTCTTTTAAGAGAAGGAAAGGAAAACAAGACATATTTTCAAATCTCAGGATTGCATATAGAATCATGTGGAGTTTTTAAATTTTGGCATGGTGCACAGATACACTTAAATTAAGGTGTGCAATAAGCCAGCAAATTATTGTTTTCAACTTGTCTGGAAACATGAAATGGAATTAAGTGCAGTGTTCTTTTTATGGTAAAAATTGTATTATTTTGGACTCACAAGACTTGAGATGTAACTTTTTTTATCTTTTTATTTTTTTTGTCAGGTGAGTGTAAGTGTGAGGACATGTGGTCTGGATGCATAATGGGAGATATGGGGTAAGATGTCACTAGAGAAAAGTCATGTTCTTCATACAGTGACATAAATGAAAAGTGTGAAAAGTTTTCTCTTTTGCAGTTTAGCAGAATATTTTTGATGATGAAATTTTCAGAAAGTAAAGTATTAGGTATATACCATATATATAATATAAACACCTTCAAAGAAATGTGTGAATAAATGAGTTCATGAGAAGGGAATGTGAAGATTTTTGGTGAATGCTGATTTCACTTGGAAAGCACAAGGCTCAACAGTCAAGCCAGGTCATTGCAGAAAAGCAAACCAGGCGTAACTTCTTTTCTCATGCAAGTTTGCTATTAAATTGTGGAAACAATGATACACCCTAATTCTTAAAATCCTATAATGAAATTTCTGAGGCATGTCTTTTTTTCAGTGTTTTTGTTGGAATCTTTCATCTGTCTCTATCATTTTTAATGCCCAGTTTTTCTGATATGGTTAGAAAAACTGCCCTCATTTTAGGCTGAGTATGTTCATACCCATGTATAGTGTCACTGGAGAGATTTTAACATAGTGACTATTGAATCAGCAAATTTTTGCTGCTGGATGTAATTTGATGCTTTCTGAAGTATATTCAGTCCCTAACACTTTTTATTACAGGCCTGTCTATTATCATGCATATGAATTACATTATAGTCTAGTTTTAGATACGAATTACATTGTATTCTAGTTTTTGATATATACAGGGCTCAGTTTTTAATTAATTTCTAATAGATCCACAAATTTTTACAATAGCTTTGTGATCAGAAAAATTTTGAGCAAAGTATGTCTCATTCAAACCTCTTTGAAAATGTGAATGTATGCCCTTTTCACCTTAGTATACCTGAAAACATACCTGGTAGGATTTTTCTGATTTTTAGTAACTTAAAAAGCCAGTCTGAGAGGCATTTTTGATTCTTGTAAAAATTAAAAATTCCCTTATTAGGGCCTTTAGATTCTTTATCTGAAATTCAAACCTTTCAAACTATTTGGGACATGAATAAGATTTGTATTTACCTAGCTTATTGCTGAACTTTGGTGAAATCCACAGCCTTTTAGTGTTTAGACCTAATTCATTACAGATGGAAAAAGCCAATTATGTTTTGGAAGCTGCCTCTCCCCAGCAGTGCAGGATAGCACTTTGGCTAATATTTTTATATCCAGCGATAGAGGAAAGCCCTTGAGACTTCAAAATATCCTTGGAGCATAAGTACGTTCATGACTATGGACCTGAATATAAAGATCACTGCAGTTGCCTTGGGAAAAGTTATTTCCCTGTGGAAAGGATCCATGCAAAGATTCTCTGCATCACATTGTTTTTAGGTGGGGCACTCAGGGGCACTCAGTTGTTACTGAGTAGGACACATGACAGAGGGAAGCTGAAATGTTAGGTGGTGTTTGTTAGAAGCATGTCTAAAATGACATAACTCTACTATATAAAAATTCTGTGGTCAAGGGATCCATTTCCTCTAAGAGAGAAACAAACTATAAGTTGTCTTTGTCTCCTGCAGTATTTATGGGAGGAAATAAATATATTTCTGAGATCAGACCTTTTAGTGGAGCAAGTCATGCTTCTGCAAACAACACACTAATCAGATTTGTGCTGTTTGGCCTGTAAAAACGTAGTGAAATGTTCTAGACCTCTCACATTCCTTGAGCTCTGTCATTGTTGAAATTTCCTTATTATTTACTGGAAGGATTTTCAAATTAGATAGACTTACAAACAGATACTCACTCTGATTCTGAACATGTTTTCATTCTTTTTCTAAAGTGTAACATTATATTTCCTCTTTTTCAAAAAAGGAAAATACAGTGTAAAAGCACCAGAGAAAGTAATCCTTCTACCTTATTCTGTTAGGTACTATCTTCCAAGCAAGTTCTCCGAGTGTGATATTGAAGAGTATCATGAATTTTTAAACAATGGAGGTGGAGCTTGCCTTTTCAATAAACCAACCAAAGTAAGCATTACATTAATGTTGAATATTATTTCTATTCTATTGCTAATTTTGATGAAACCAAGAAAAATGAAAATTATGTTGGAAAAAACACCTGTAGTTTGATAGTTCTGGTTCTTTCTAACTGTTCAGGTAACACATGGGTGTAAGTAGATTATTTTAGTTCATACTAGTTTAGAAATTACTTTAAAATAAATTTCTAATAGAGTGATTTCATGTTCAGTAGAGTATCCACAGCCTCTGATGAAGAATCATCCCTCACACAATTTGTTCTGAATATTGTAAATGCAATACAATTTTGTATTTACAACAGGTCTGCAGTGGAGGATTTGCAGCAGTGTTTCAGTATATTCCTGCTCCATTTATTGAGGCATGTGTTAAATGTAGAGCAAGCAGGATAATGATCTTGACTCTTTTCTATATATAATTTATGTTAACCTGTATTTAATGGCTGTCTTTCAACAAGCAAAAGAAAAAGGTTAAGACAGAAAGACAGTCCAATGTGGAAAAAAGACTTATCTCGTAAACAAAATGGTCACAGATGTAAAAGAGAAGAAAGTCAATTCAGGAGTGATGCATGTTCCTTCTGGTGAACCTGAGAAAAAGTGCATGTTCTGACAACCACAGGATTTCAATAAAAGTTAAAGAAGGGAAAACATCAAATCGGGACAAGCTGAGCCTGCTTATCTCTTTAAAGTCTCTTTTGATGAAGGAGTATATTGCTAGAAGTGGAGAGAAAGCACTGTAATTCATTAATAAGATGTAAAATTTCTTATTTAAAATGTACCTTTTAGAAGTTTGCTTTTTTCCCATCTCATTAAAGGTGGAGAGAAATACTGGTAGATTTATTTACTTGCCGAGTGAATTGTTTATATAGTATAATGTGTCTTGGTTTTATTTTAGTGATTGTGCCCATTTACACATCTGTCAGTTGGAAAAAAACCCAATTACTTTCCTTTCAATTTAGTTTAGCAGCACTTTAGGGGGTTTTTTGATGGCATGCAGAAATGTGAGTTTGATGAGGAAGCCAGGGTGATTTAGTCTCTTTTATGCATTGTGGTTTGGGATGGTTTAAAGGTTTTGTCAATGGATATCTGTCTAATTAACAACGCTGTCAAACATGTGTTTCCTAACAAGGGTGGTGAGACACAAACTTGTTTTTATTTTTTAAGCATTATGAGATAAAGGAAAGCTGATGTGACAAGGTGCAGTGTTTGGCAGTGCTCCACTCTTAGATCAGCTGTAATCCCAAAAATTACATCAATGGCTGCTGGAGCAGATTGAACATATGCTCTTTTCAAACGAATGGATGAATGATATGACTCTGGGGAAAGGTTATTCAATTTGCTCTTAATGCTTGTGTTTTTTTCTCTTCAATTTCGTTTTTAGCTGTCCCTATGTACTGCAGCAAATTGGCCCAATAGTGCAAGGCAGAATGCTCTGTTACTGCAGTGTTTTTGTCTCTGTTGTGCAACGTACTGAGAGATACTGAAGAAGTTAAGATGTCTGGAAAAATACACAGGAAACAAGCAGTTTTAACAACTCTTTAATAATTCCAAGGGCTTGCATACATTTTATGTTAAATTCTACATGTGCATTGCATGCTGCAGTCAAATTTCCATTTCAATAGGGGACCTAATAATAGCTCATCAGCCTGTGCCAGGCTGTGGTTTGTGGCACAGTGAAGTACGTGGGGTGATGCTCCATCCTGTGGGCTCCTGACAGAAAGGCAGCAGCCGGTGAGAAATGCTCTACACCATGTATGATGTACTTGTGCAGATGGCTCAGGAGCAGAGTGATTTTTGGAGTGGTCCTAGTTTAATTGGAGAACTCAAAGGATTATCTGCAAAATTTTAGTCTGGTGACACACTTAAATGACTTCTCATTTATGTAATAAAAGCTACTATTATGTTTTCTTATGTCCAAAGGAAAAAAATTATTTTCTTTTAGAAGAACTACCTTTTAAAGTTTTAGGAAGACAGAAAAAATTAAACCAGAAAGAACAGAATGTAAGTGTCCCTTAGAAGAGGTTATTGCATACAAATATACAGATTTTGATTTTTAAGTTACAGTCCAGTGGGAAGGCTGAAAGGGAGGATCATCAGCAATACTTCCTGTGCACATCTGCCTGTCATACATACTCATAGAAAACTGCAGAAAGTTTCCTTGTGGTAGAGGAAAATGGAAAGAAAAATCCATCTGCAACAAAAACTGACAAAGAAACCGAGCCTCTCTCCTTCCCAAGTGTTTCTGAGTCACATAAAAGGACTAATTTTTATGGCTATTACTTCTGAACTTAGAGTGCAGGCTTTAACCTTTCAGCCCTTGTCACTTGAACTCCAGAACAACAGCAACTGCTGTGAAGATAATGAAATTGTCATATCTTTAAAATGTTTTTTTCCTTTATCGTCACACCTTTTGTTTTTTTTGTTTGTAACTTCTACTCAAACTGAATTTACTGTAAAGCTGAGACCTATGCACAGAAGATACCATGTGACTCTGCAGCGTTCCTGTATTAATTTTCAGGAGTATTGATTCTCTGTATGCTTCACTGGTGTCAGTCTGTGTCTCCCTGAGTTGTGGGTACTGTTTTTCAGTTAATGCATTTGGAGTGCTAACTCAAAAACCATGTTGCACAAAGCAAATATGACAATGAGTCCCTTAACAGAGACATGCCCTTTGATTTCTGAATTTCCATGCAGCTTCTGGATCCTCCAGAATGTGGCAATGGCTTTGTGGAAGATGGAGAGGAATGTGACTGTGGGACAATAGCGGTAAGTGCAATGTACTTTAAATTACCAACTAGATTTTTCCAAGAGTTGGTACTGCACATTGCTGCTGTTAATGGTAAGTGGAGGAAGACAAGCAAGGTGAAGGTTGTATGCCCAGGGGTTCATAGTAATAGCTGCCTATACAGAAGCAGACCTTCAGAGACATAAAAGAAAGCATTTTCCTTGATGGACCTAGACTGGTCAGTGCTAAAATGTTAGTATTTAATGGTTGACAATATGAAGTTAGAAAAATTATTTTTTATCTTGCACAGGAAGCAGCAGTCTCATGCCCCACAAGTACATGCCTTTTTCTGCCTCTAGGTGCCTAAAAGAATGAATGAAAATCCATTCAGGTAGCATGCTAAGATGAGAAGTGGTGGGAGCTTGGGCTTCATGTGCTTTTCCCATGTATTCTGTTGTGTGTGTGTGTGTGTTCCTCAGGAGTGTGCCAACGAAGGAGGAGAGTGCTGCAATACCTGCACCCTGACCGCGGGCTCCCAGTGCAGCAACGGGCTCTGCTGTCGCAAGTGCCGGGTAAGGGCAGTGACCTTCACTGCAGCAGCCTGCTGGGAATGCATCCAGGTGGCTGCAGGCACTACAGCACATGTGTTTTCCCTTGCAGACCTTGTGATTACTCTTCCGAAAGCTTACCTTTTAAAACTGGCTGAAATCTGATTTTTCTGAGGGTGTACTCTGCCTTTTAGGCTTGGCTTTCTGGGGCAGGGACTGCCATCAAATGCAGAAGTAAATTGAATCCTTCCAGTTTCAGACAAGTTTGAATCGGGTTGAAGTTCTATGAGATCTCATTAGACGTCCTTGCTTAAAGGATAAATTAACCATAAAGGTTTCATTAAATGTCCTTGTTTTTTCATTATGAGAATGAGGAGGCACTGGAACAAGTTGACTAGAGAAGTTTGGGATGCCACATCCCTGGAAGTGATCAAGGCCAGGCTGGATGGGTCTTTGAGCAAATGGAAGGTGTTCCTGCCCATGGCAGTGGCGTTGGAGCTAGGTGATCTTTAAGGTCCCTCCACTCCCAATGCCATGTGTGTTGCTCTGGATTTTCCCCATGATACTGAATGGGAAAATCATACCACAGAGTGTCTGAGGGAAGGATATAGTAAAAAACACAAAAGCGCAGCCAAAAGAATTACTCAGAAGGATTCATCTAAAAGACACCTGACTTGAGTTTCAGTTTGGTCTGCCTGTGTCTCATGTTTGGACTGATTGAAATACCATTGAGTGAAGGGAATCAAGCCTTATGTAAACAGTAAGGTATTCTTCTTGATATATCAGTAAATAGTAAAAGGAGGTTTAACCAGATCATGCCTTAAGGGCATGATGTACTAATTTAGTAAAAAACATAATTAGTATTAATGTAGTTGAAACGGTGGTGTACTATGCGTGATATTTTTATCTTCGTCTGTGCACATTTGAGGGTTTCACTTCATTAGGAAGATCATTAATAATAACTGTGGGCCACATTCTTGACTTTGTGCTCATCGTAATGTTAAAAAAAGAAAAAGCACAGATCATGCTGGAACAGATCACATTTCCTTAAGCACATTCCTTTTTTAAATGTAATAATAAAAATAAATCTGCAGATTGCCAGTGTGGGTGAATTTTGCTCAAGACTCCAAGTCACATAGGCACCATATTAAAGACTTTCAGAACAAAACAAAGCTTTTGTATACCTATCTTATTTTTTTGCAAGTGAGAAAAGGGTTTATCTACTTAGTGGCAAGGATGAGTGAATGAACAGAAAAGTAGAATTTTACAGAACATATATCTCTAGGAGGTATTTATCAGGACAACTCAAAATACTGTATATAATAGTTCCCAAACTTGGGGTTACCTTCCCCTGTAATATCCTGAAAGCAGGAGTGAAGGAGGGGTTACAAGCAATACGTGGTGATTATACATCTCAGAATCCTGCAGTGTCTCTGACATTTGTGTCTGCCTGCATTTTTCCAGTGACTAGTAGAAAAAAGAAGCTGAGGGCTGAGAAAATACCATAGTCTAGCTCTTCCACTGCTCACACCACTCAGGTGTGGAGTTAGCAGCTGTCCCCCCAAAAATATATGTTCATGCAGATCCAAAATAAAAAATCACAGGCCTACAAAATGAACTGGGTATCACAGTCTTAAGAAAACTTTGAGGAAAAATAAGGAGTCTGTAATATGTCCATGACCAGAAACACTAAAATTGCCTCAAATGAGATGTCTTCCTTCTTTTCCAGGTCTTGAGACTTAGCAAATAATTCTTTAGCCAAAATGTCTGTATTAGGTCACTGGTACACTTTTAATTGTTAAATATCCAGTCCCTTAGAAAATGGTGTCAAACTGTACAGAATTCAGTACATTTATTAATAGCTCCTGGTCTGCAACAACAGTGGGGTATTAAAATAACCAAAGTGTTTATACATAGAGCTCTGCAGCGTTCTTCATCCCCAGAGAGAAGATCAGGATGACTCCTTCTGTTCTATAAAGAGTAAAATAGTCACAAAAAGGCACAGTGACCTGGTAGGATAATTTTGCCAGCCACTGCAGTATTGGCTTGGACACCTCCAGGGGTCCCCTGTCCCAGGAGAGATTTCTCCTGCTCAGCCCCACAATCCATGCCCTTGGGAGGGTGTGCCTCAGAGTGGTACCACTCACACCAGTAAATGGCTTGAGTGGTGCAGCATACACACCAGGGAAAGGAGAGTCCTCTCACGTCAGTCAGCATGTGAATGTTTCCTTTTTTTTATTTTAGATAAAACTGTAAGGAAGCATTGCATATAAGGCAAGATACGGAGAAACCAAGACAATAATTTTCTGTGCTTTTATTTCCAGTTTGAACCTAAAGGAGTTTTGTGTCGAGAAGCAGTGAATGATTGTGATATTGCAGAGAACTGCACAGGAAATTCCAGCCAGGTGATTTTTGTGTCTTCTATTCATGAGACAAAAAACCCCACCTATAATCTTGAAATTACTATGTTTTGTATAGTATGGTGTGTTAAAATTGCGTTAAATCTGTTGATGCTGAACAAAACAGAATAATATTGAAATTATTTTTCATATGACTTTTGTTGTGTACTTTGCTTTCATGATTGTCTAATCTATGATCTATTACCTATTTTCTCTTTCTATAGTGTTCTCCTAATATCCATAAAATGGATGGATATTCATGTGATAACAGACAGGTAATTAGGACTTCAGTTTGTTATGCATTCTTTCTGATGTTTAGATTGCTTTTTATAGATTTTTTTTTTAAGATCTTTGGAAGTCACCTTGGGGCAGTTTTGCTAACATTCATGAGTTTTGGGTGCTAGTCATATTTTGGATGAAAAGACAGAATCACATATTTATTGCCTCAATATAAAGTGTGTGACTAATCTTTATGTTAAAGAAATACATATTTCAGAAAATCAAGTAATTCAAAATATTTTCTGCATTTTTTTCTTTCTTTCTAGGGTATTTGCTTTGGAGGAAGATGTAAAACCAGGGACCGGCAGTGTAAATATATATGGGGTGAAAGTAAGTGAATGTTTCTAAGTTGTTTGTAATACATGTGGCTTGAAAGACTATCTTAGCTAAGAAAAATTATGGAAGAGACATATTCAGAACCTTGAAAACATCTAGAACGGTATGTCTCTCCCTTTCTTCCCCCGTCACTTTGTCTTTCCATCCTCTTTTCCAGCTCTTTCTCTAGTGTTGGTTAGTTTACTGGTGTTTGTTCTGAAATCTGAAACTTTAGTTCTCATTAATAACCATCTAGTGAGCCTATACTCATGTTCATTAGTTTATTGCAGTGGCTTCTGGACACTTTTGACCAATAAACTTTCATCAATCTAAACAAAATTTCCAAATTTAAAAATAGTCCTGTGGTGCCATCATAAAGATTTTAACCAAGAAGAGCACTGTGCAGAGTTTCATGGGCCACCTGCAGATCATGGTGTTTCACTTCACCAACTGGAAAGCTCTGCTTGTTTTGATTGTATCCCCATTTCTCATGACGTGGCTTTTCAAAGTCATCATCTTAGAAGAGATTTGTTTCTGTTTTTAGAAGTGACAGCAGCTGACAGGTACTGCTATGAGAAACTGAATATTGAGGGGACTGAGAAAGGAAACTGTGGAAGAGACAAGGACTCTTGGATACAGTGCAATAAGCAGTAAGTTGATCCATTTGGAAAGCTACTAGAATGAAGTTCTTACCCCTGATTCAGTTCTTTAGCTGGCATGAAGAGACTCAGAAATTCCCTTTGTGGATCAGACTTCTGGCCTTCTCCTGCAGACCTTTGTGCAAGAAATCCTGGATGGAGCAGGGCGTCAAGAAGAGATGATCCCTGACAAGAGAGCATCATCTGAGCTTGGGAGAGCTTGGACCAAAGTGGCTCTAGTACTCAGTGTGGGTTAGCAGTGCAGAGGAGAACAGCCTTTGGTTTCACATCTTGGTGTGGTGTTCACTTTTTATGCTGTGCCATTTCATTGCTAAGTTGTGTTCACTTTTCATGATATTGTAACTTTTCAAATATACCTGCCAAGTTGCTGCCAAAAGCATTTTTTCACATTCTGCATATATGCAGTTGATTATTTCTGACAATTTCTCAACCTTTCACCTGTCCTTATCAAACTGTTTTTTCAGATTTCTCCATTCTGTCCATGACATTTGATTTCTATTTCTACCTACAGGTGAACTAATGTTCTTTCCCACTTTTTTAGCGCAGATTTGGTAACCTTACTTCTGTTCCATTAAATATTCATAAGTAAAAAATATTCAATAGTATGGGAAATGTCAGACCCTACTATTCTGCCAGTGCAAAAGTCTCCACACATGAATAGTGAAATCCCTTCAGCAGTTGAATGAAACATGGTGTCTATAATTCCCTTACGTATATGTCCTATGAGAGTGTATTTAGAACCAGTGTCTACTGTTGCTCCTTTATGGACCAGTTACTGTATCTTAGTAGTTCATTAAATCAATTTGATGTGGTTTGTTCTTGCCAGCTCCCTGCTTGTTATTACTTAGGGTATTTTTGATAATGCATTCTAAAAACAGAGTTTTCCCAATCTAACTTCCAAGGAGAAGAATTTTCTCCAGAAACAGCATCATTTATGGGAGTTATTGTCAGTGGGAGAAAAGCAAGGAATAATAAGTAGGTTATCAAGCAAGTGGTCATATTTTTGATTGTCCATTTTAATTGACTTTTATTTTTATGAGTATCTGTTTATTCTTTCAATGCAGGGATGTGCTTTGTGGATACCTTCTGTGCTCCAACATATCCAGTGTACCCAGACTCGGAGAACTTGATGGTGAAATCACAACATCAATCTTGCACTATGGAAAAGTCTATAATTGCAGGTAAATCCTGAAAACAGAACAATCAATATCCATCTTACATAGAAAAGCAGCTTTCTCATTCCTAAGTGGAGAAAAACTGTTTCCATTAATTTTTTTTCCTATTAACACATAATCATTATTTCAGTTCAACCTTTGTTAAGCTTCAGAAAATTAACTGCCTGTGGGGCAGTTTCACAGTCCCCTCAATAGATAATTTTGCCTGTAGAGGCATAATGCTCTTCTCAGGCCCTGTGATTTTACATTCTTTAATTTTTGCAAAGTACTTCAGGTACCCAAAATACTTAGACATATGCCTGCACTGCCAAAGTTAACTGACAGCCTAATTCATTGCTATATTGTAGCTGAATTCTAATTATAGTTGTGGTATGTTTTCATAGCTTTATACAACTGTAAGGTGAAATGACGTCCTAAACAAGTAAACTGAGTTTTATCAAACTCTAGCTGTTTTACAGGAAAAATGGTCCTTGTTTTCATGATTTACATTTGTTTGATGTAGAGACACTGTTTTGGTTTGTTTCATGTTAGGCCCTGTGAGATCACTAAGCCAATACTTATTCTTGCCTGGTCCTGGGCCTTGTGTAGCACAGAAGTACAGGCAGCAGCCCAGGGCCCAGTTTCTCAAGCAGAGCCATCAAATCCCAGCACAAGTCTCCAAGGTTCTCTTGTCTGTCTTGCAGTGGTGGCCATGTGAAGCTGGATGAGGACACGGACCTGGGCTATGTGGAGAACGGGACGCCGTGTGGGCCGGACATGGTGTGCCTCGACCATCGCTGCCTCCCCACCGAGGCCTTCAACTTCAGCACCTGCCCAGGCACTACCGACGACCAGATTTGTTCAGGACACGGTGTATGTTCTTTAATGCTTTTTGCTATTTTTGCTGAGTACCTGGCCTTGTGTAGTCTACTGGCTGGACCTTTCAGGAAGCCAGCAGTGTGACTCTAGAAGTCATAAAACTGGAGTTTTTGAAGAGGAAAAGGGAAGGAGGCACATAAGTAAATATAATGCATTCCAGTCAAGGCATCTTAAACGAGTCATAGTTAGTATGTATTAGTTTTACAGAAGTTTTATATCAATAGATGTTTTTGCTATCACTTTTGCTAACTTGATTGGTATTTCCTCAGGCAATGTGCTGGAGGATAAATACAAAGGTTTTATGAACTGAGAAACTTGGGTCTCTGTTCTTCCAGAGACCTGCTCTTTTTAATTCCCTCTTTATTACATAAATAGCCAAGAAGATTCACAAAGTTGTTGATGGTGTTGGATTTTGTGAGCTGAGAGTTCATTTACTCTGGAAAAGAGGGAAATGAGCTGGATCTTGACTAGTTTCTCTGCTTGGTGTGTAGAGAGTCTGTGGCTTTGCTGTGGCCCTGGCGAGTCCCCTTGTCCCTAACACATTTTGACCTAATGTCCAGGGCCCTATGACTGAGCTGAGATCGAAGGAGTTGTTCTCTCATAATGTCTTTTGTTTTGTTCACTGCATTAAAACTTGCCTATTCATCTGAAATCATGCACTTCATCATATTTTCAAAAAAAAGTGATTAAGGTCAGTCTCCCAAAGCAATTATAAATGATTCTATTAAATATAGATTATACTAAAGTATGTACTGAATAAACATTACAACTATTTATATAAAATATAATAGCACATTGAATGCATTTATATCTAACATATAAATTAAAAATTGCTATATATTAAAAATTATTTTGCAATACTTTGTGAGCAGCAAAATCGTGGCTATCACTGCATCTATACTTGAGGTATTAATAATGAGAATGGATTAATAATCTTGTTTTTTTCTAAGCTACACTTTTCACTGCAGGTTTGTAGCAATGAAATAAAGTGCGTCTGTGACCGATTCTGGGGAGGAGATGACTGCAGTTCTCACATCAAAGATGATTTATTTTTTGATAAAGATGCCATCAATAAAGGTATGTTGTTATAATTTTTACCAACAGCTGAAAATGCTTGGATTTAACAAAAGTTCGTTAAGCAAAACCAGGTCTCCTACTCTTTCAGTTAGTACACAGTATGCTACAGTATCAGGAGCCTTGTTCCCCTCTCTGCCTCCCACAGCAGAAGCACTTAGTGTCTGTAAATGAAGACTCAGCCAGTGCATCTTTGGGAACTGGTATCTGTGGGTCCATTTCTACCATGTTTGTTCCAATAATCTGAGTGGTCTTATTAGGCATATTGATAAATTAGGACAAGCAAAGGTTACTGTGACATTCCATATCTAGGTGGAAAGGTGATGCTTGACTTCTACATTTTTTGAGTGGAAGTTTTTATTCAGCTTTAGTCTTGCATACAAAAGAAAGATATATTGTGGAAAAATGAGCTTGAAATGTTGGTCATTTGAAATCCTTGTGGGGGGACATCTTCCAGAATCCTTCATTTGATTAATTTATTCAGCTATGGAAGGGACCTGAGCAAAACCAAACAGTAGTCACTTTTATTCCATGGTAAGCATGTATTTGGTAGGGAGGGTTGTAAGGATGTAATCTACAGCAGTTTAATATTGATAATACTGTTTTGGCATACCTGGCACAGGTCCCCCATGTAACAAGCATTCAGTTAATGGACACAGAGGTCAAAGTTTGATTTACAAGTGATCTTTTTATGCCCCTGCTATACTTCAGGAGTGTATCATGGTTACAATTAATCAGCCTAGTGAAAGTTGTTCAGTCTAGTTTTTGAAAGACGGTGCATTTACTGGTGTTGTGTATTTTTCTCCTAAAACCATGTATATTTTTCATCTTTCTTGTGTTTCCAGGTGTGGTTAGCACAAATATAATAATAGGGGCTATTGCTGGCACCATTTTAGTGTTGGCTCTCGTTTTAGGAATAACTGGTTGGGGTTACAAGTAAGTACATTTTGATTTTCTTTATAGAGTTAAAAAATACGTGTATTTCATCTGATAGTTTGTTATGTTATGAAAAGTTAAAAAAATCTAAAAAATCCAAATTCCACAATATCTATACAGTAACATTTTTATTGTATTAACATTTTTCAAGCAATTCTTACATTTGTGTGTGCTTTTAGAGAGCTTGATCCAAATTTGACGTTTATTTCTCATTTAGTAATTTCTTTTTTTAGATTATCAGATTATGATTTTATATGTATGATTTATTTGTGTGTGACAAAGGAAATACAAGAATACTATATGATTAAATTATAAATGTTTCCTCATGATGAAGCAAACATAACAAGATTAGCTCTCAGTCAGTCAGCAAAGCATTTAACCATAGGCTTCTTTAAATAGATGATTATATTTAGTCAGCTTAACCTGAAATTAATTCAAGCACATTTTTTGGTAGGAAAGATCTGCAATTTGCAAGTAAGGCTCAAGTTGTCTCCTGGTGAAGAGCTGTCAGTGCTCACTGAGAGGCAAAATGGATTATATTAGCCTGATTGGTCTTTCACAATTTTAATTCTTTTGTGAATTTCTTATAAAAACAGAGGGATTTATGTTTTTTGCTTGTAGTAAAAAAAGATTCAAGGTACTGACTTTATCATCAGTGTTTGGATGAGACTATCTCTTGAAGTTGTTTGACCCTAGGTCCTTATTGTACTTGGAGGGCAGGGCAGGCTCTGCTGCAGGCAGTGCTGTGGCTGGGGGACAGCCCCAGTGGTTTTGCATAAAGAAGTGGCACAGCCCCTGCTGGTTTGCCAGACTGAGGTAGGCTGAGGGCAGCTCAGAAATACATAAGGAAGGAAGCATTTGGAATAAAAACCATGAAGATAAGGGTGGTAGAAAAGTAGGTTATACTGTCTTGGTATATCATACTCAGCTTCTGGTAGTATCTGAAAATCTGGACTTTTATTTCCAGTAAAACTAAAAGTTAAGGGCTCATTTTGAGATCATGTCTAGCCAGTGAGATTAATTTTTGGAGGTTCAGGACAAGAGTGCACCTATTACTAGCGGCTTCACAGTGAACAAGCTTTAAGCCATCATAAACTGCTCCTTACACTCAGTGCTGATGAGCCATCAACATGAATGTATTTTTCTTGTTTATTCTGATGTAGTATATTTGTAAATATGCTTATTTCAGAAATGATTTTTCAAAGTGAAATACTTTGAGCAAAAATTTCATTCTGTATACAGTGCTTTTATTGTTACATTTTTTTGGTCTTACTGACCATGTGTACCTGCATACTAAAAACTTCTTCTTCTTCCTTTATCTTCTGTTTATATGGAAAGAAACTACAGAAGACAGAGGTATGTGATAAAAGTAGTAGAATGTATCCTAGAAGTCTCTGAAAATAGCTTTTAATATCTTTTCCTCATTTACATGCTACAAAGAAAATATTGGGATGGGTTATCATATTTTAAATAATATATGAAATCAATATTCTATAATGCACTGCTTGAAATCCTGATTTCACTGGAGTCAGTAGCAAAAATAATGTTTTTTATACTTCTGCAATAGACTGTTTTATTTAGGAAAACAGGAGAATATTTCCAATAAGAGAGACTGAAAATCGGCTATTAGTGATGAAAGTGTTCTTGGGAGGCTAAGAACTGAATAATTAATATTAACATGATGTTCAGGAGCCTTTTGAGACAAATTAATTCCTGGAGCTTCTTTGCAGTTAAAGATACAATGCAATTAAATTGCTGTGTGGACAAAGAGCCCGTTCTTTCCCGTCACCCTGTTTGATTGATTCATAGCTAAAGCACAGTACTGGCTTCAGCACAGGGCTGAGCTTTCACCATTTCAAGCTTGTGGCCAAAAAGAAACTGCTTTCCTAGTGACTTTAGTTTGGCTCCTGGAAGACCACCTCCCTTTGATCAGGCATCTGCCTGGCAGATGTCTTGTGGGAAGGAGTTGGCTCCTTCCTCTCCCAGTCCCCAACAGAGAAGAGGATTTCTCAAATTCCCCTGTTTTCTGCCTGTATCATTGCCTTCTGGTCCAAGCTGCTGCTTTGTTTGTTGCTGCTACCTGTTGTGCTTGTTCTCCATTTCCCTTTGTGTAGCGCTTTCTCTGCCAGGCTCAAAATATTTGTAAAAAGTGGAAAAGCACAGTCAAGTTCTGGTTGTGTGCTACAGGGTCAGGTAGGCCACAGGTGCAGTAACATGTAAAAGGCAATGCTATGGAAGCCTTATGCAGAGGCTGGTGGGTAGGGAATGCCACCCAGCACAAGGAAGGCAGAATTTAAGGGTTTGGGGCTGCTTAGTGGAAACTGATGTATCTATGCATGGAGACTAACATGGCCATCAAGTCATTCTACTGTGGAGGTTTCAGTATTGGCTGAGGACAGTGCAGAAAAAACCTCGAAACAGAGTCCATCCCATGTATGTTTGCACTGGAATATTAGAGAATATGACTTCTTCAGATATCTTCATCTCCAGAAATTGGTTTATGGCCAGAGAGCTTTGAGTGTGCAGCCAGTCTGCAGCTGTGTCTGAGAGCACAGGCAGAGTGGAAACCAGTGTAAACTGAGGCTTCTGCAAGTAATGGAGGACTCCCTCATTTTAAAGATGAGGAAGATATTTATTGTGTAAATCTCCTTCATGCATGAAATGAAGTTGTCTAGGCTGACTTCTAAATAGAATAATTTTGGATTAGTACAAGGAGTGCTCCATAAATGGAAAAACAGATACCCACCAGACTGTCCAGACTGTCCCTTTTTTTAAAGGAAAATATGGTTGCTCCTTAAATAACAATAACAAGCCATTATAGTATTTTTAAGTGTGACATAAGGATGATACTTGGTACTGAATCAAGTAAACTGAAAGTGGTAAGAAGAGCCAATTAGCAAGGATTCTGCCAGCTGGGATAGTGTGGCTTTAAAGGGCACAGCTACATGGGAGAAGTTATTTCTGATGAAGTAGCAAGAGAGCAGTTTGCTAGAGGAACCCTGGGGAGCAGAGCTGCCCACACTGAGGCAACTCTGAACACACACATGTGGCAGCTGAGGAATGGGACAAGAACTGAGACTTGGGAGGTGTTAGAAGATGAAATGTGGAAGTACTGCACTGCACTAATGATTTATGTGCTATATAGTTGTATACTTTACATACTTCAGAAGCATTAGAAATACAGATATGGAATGGAGAGGTCCCAGTTTAGGTCTGTAGTTGGACACAATCTGAATGTGAATCAGCCTGATAAATGTGCATCTTAATGGGGCAGACTGTGGAAAAACATCTTGGAAAGTATGAGGCTGAATAAATACTGATGCTGATATTCTGAAACAGTCAACTGTCAAAGGAACTACATGTACTTGGGAGCATTTTTAAACCTGGTGGAACTATAACTGGAATGTTTGCATGGCAGGTATCCTCTGCTGGTGATGAATTCACCATCTGCAAAAGCTTTGCATAACGTGATTAGAACTTTCTAATGCACAGATAGTTTTATGCACCGTAACTGAGCTTCTAGTTCTGGAAGAGGATAAACTGTTAAATCACTTTTGTGTGTCTTGGCAGACTGAGTCTACTACTACGGTAATCAGGAGTAGCTGAGAATCTCTGACAATGGTGTTAGTTCCCTTACACAAGAAATCAGTTAAAAAACTATAGGTTTTGTCCTCCAGAGATTTAAACAACTCAACAGGTTGCTACCCTTGAATACAATCATGATCACAAAAGTTAAATGGGAAACATCTACCTCAGAAGAAAAAGAGCATTCACTTTTCCTCAGCTCCTCTTTGATGCAGGCATGTATACAGCTTAGGCTCAGTACTGGTGCTGCATCCGAGGGTGCTATTTGTGACCAGCGTGATGAGGTATTTGAAATGTCTGGACTGGTTATCCAGTGTCTCAAGAATCACCAACTGTTCACTTTGAAAATTGTCATCAGAGTTAACCAGTGAAATGTTCCTTGTTCTCCCTTTACAAAACCACATAATCTACTTTTCTGCACATAACAGAAGTGTGTGGGAGTTTTCTCTCAGATGGTTGAATTATTTATTAATAATTGTGTGTGGTTAACAGGTTTTCTCAAGGATTGCTATCCTTACCTCTTTCTTCTAAACTAATGTTCGTGCATGTTTGTGTGCGTTCTAGTTCCTGTCATGTTTTCTGACTCTACAATGTTTATTACACTTCAGACAAATACCCCAGGGAGATTATGTTAAAAAGCCTGGAGAGGCCGACTCTTTTTATAGCGACATGCCTCCTGGAGTCAGCACAAACTCTGCATCTAGTTCTAAGAAGAGGTCTGCTTTTCTGTCGCATTTTCAGATTTCTACCTGTTCCATCACCCATTATTCCATTAGTCAGAACATTTCATTGTTTTGCAGCAGGTTTGACTCTTTCTTCTTTCTTTGTGGAATGTTTGAAATAGTATCCTTTTTGCTTTGATTACTGATTTTTCTCCTGTGTCCTAGTTGCTAATTAGTATGATTAGGCCAGAATAAAAACATTTTTCATTGCAAACCAATTTTTGTTTAATAAAATTTTCATAATATCCCTGCTTGAGAGTTGATTTCAAGTAGACTGTAATAATAATTGCTGGCTGAAAAAAATTTAAATAAAACACCAACAACTTTTTTTAATCATGGTCATGTAATCAAAGAAAAGGAACATTGTCTTGCTTCAATAATAGTTATAAACATAAAATGTTCAATATAAATGTTATTTTTATATCTTTATTTGTCAGTGTCATTAATCCAGTGTATTGACTTAGACTTCTGCTCTCTCATCTTAAAGATGATAGTGATTGCATTTTATTCCACTTACTAGACTAGTATACTAAATGGTTGCCAAGTGTTACCTTAGAAAATAATTCTACAAAGACTTTCTGACATTTTCTGCTTGCTGTCATTAGATTAGAAAGAATTAGATTTTGCCCTTGATCAAATTTCACTAACTCTGTTATTGGTTCCAGTTGCCTAAAATATCCAACATTTTAAAAGGGAAGATTCATTTAAAAGCATTGAGAGCCATTTGTAATTGCTAAGATCATGATGCTCACTGTTCCTCTGCATTTAAAGATTCATTATATGAAAATCTCCAGCTAGAACTGTAAAACAATTTATGAGAAGCACTGTGACTGTGTAGGGGAATTGACAGTCATGAACTGCTTCACAGGAAATTGCAATTCTCAATTCTTGTTTCACTAAGCAGCCTACAACTGTGCAGTTGATGAAGCCATTTTCTTTGTGATTGTTTCAATGAAAGTAAAGAGAAATGTTTGCAAGGGACACATATGTAGTGACATTTGCTATTTTGGTGTAGCAGCTTGATCTTATATACAACTTCATTCAGTTTGTTCTAATGACTAAGTTATTAGGAAAACTCCAGGATCGATTACTTCATTATCTCTAACTTTTAAATTCAGCTGTTTAGATATGTGGGTTCTTTTTTTCAGGAAGCAAGCATTAATCTTAAATGATGCACTGTTTGTGTTGGAGAATCTTTTTAAATTTAGTTAAAATTTTGAAAAAAAGTCTTGGGAAGGCAAGTTTTCACAGCTTTGTCTATCAGGTTTAAATACCAATTTTAAAAAGTTTTTTTAAAAATTACTGTAATTTAATGTGTTTCTTCTTTCACACAGTATCTGTGTTTCTTTTCATACTTCATTTATTTCATATGTCTCTCTTTATTATTTGTTCCAAAAAGCTAATGGTTTCTAAGGTCTGTCTGTACTAGAGAGTTTTGTTGTTCCCACCACCAGTTCAGGTATGTTGTGCCACTGTCAAGTCTGAAAAAGTAAGTCTGACAAATACTCCATTAACATTGTGATACAGCTGACATAGTCCTTCCATTTGAATTCCCAGAGTGCTACCTCCTACCTTCTGAGCTGGTTTTGATTTCCTCTCTGTGCCGGTATGGATGGCATCTCTTGGGAGATGTTAGAGTGACTGGGCTGCCTGGGCTTCTCCATGCTGGAAAGCACTATGAAATATTAGTTGGTATTCAGAGGATGTTCAAGGATTAATACATAACTTAATGATAACTCTTGCTATTATGAAATAGCAAAGACAAAAAGCATTATGTAGCAAGATATTCCTGAACCCGAAAGGGACCTTTAGGAGGAGGAAATGTTTGAAAATCTGTCAGTAGATCTGTTGTTTCTCAGACCTTTCTGTGATTAAGGTTGTGATTAAGGTTGAATTAATGAAACCCTGGGCTTACTTCAGTGTTGCTGTGATTAGCCTGAGCTTCTAGAAACTGAAGAGCATCTCTCAGATGCCTCCAAGGAAAGCAGAGACTGAAAAATGCAAGTATCCAGACTTAAAAACTACAAAAATAGTTTCTTTAAGCAAGACTTTGTAATAAGTAAGCCATCTATTATGAATTTTTCAACTTCCTCTTCTCTTTTGGAAATAATTGTAGATCACATGGCAAACAGCTGAGCAGCAGCTCTCGTTCAACAGGAGGCAGCCTGTTGCAAAACCCCAAGTTGGACATCGCCATATACATCTCTGGCTCTTAGAGGCAATACAAGAGAAAAGAAAAAACAGTTTGCACCAAGCATGTAGATAAAAAGACTATTTTTGGCTTTGAGTTTAGCATTAGAAGTATATACTGCAGCAACTGGCTGATAAAATATAAATGTTCAAAATTAGAAAAAAATGAGGCAGAGTTACCTCTCTCCTGGGACTACCAGTTCTGTGTGGAAGGATGCTTGTCACACACTCCTGAGCCCCTGAGTCTGGTAGCAGTGGGGTGAGGGAAGCTGTCCTGGCTTTTCTGCAGCAGCATAAGGAGGGAGTGGGCAGCCTGCAGGCGGGATGTGCTTGACTGTGAGATGAAAAAGCCTTGAAATGACCACAGTTGTAAGAGCATCTTCCATTTAGGAACTGAGGCAGAGCTGCAAATCCAAAGGAAATCTGGTGTGCGCCACTGTTCATGCATTCCACAGTAGACAAGAAAGCAGTACTGATGCCTAGGTCTTGAACGTGGGCACATGGAACCACTGCAGGGACAGCTGCAAGGTGTAACTGCAGGGTTTAATCAGAAATCCTGGATGCTCTGCTAGTGCAGACAGACCTTAGGCTATGTTTTGTCACTGGCCTCGGGAATGTGACCGAACCACTGAGCTAACATTGATGTGAGACAATACCCTTAACAATAACCACATCTGAGCCCTCCTATTCCAGGTCAAATGGATTATCTCATTCCTGGAGTGAAAGGATTCCAGACACAAAACATATTTCAGACATTTGTGAAAATGGGAGGCCTAGGAGTAATTCTTGGCAAGGTAAGTGTGAACCACTGTGCTGGCCACAGTGGAAACCAGCCTCTGGACCATTGCTGCTCTGCTGAAACTTTAGCTGATTTTAGGACAGCAGCATGACTCCTTAAAATTGTGCTAATTGTTATTAACTTGGAATTAGGATTTAGCAGCACCCTGCATAAGTGCCTTTTTTGCACTGTACTTTGTCACAAAGAAATTACATTTAATTTTTCCCTCCAGTGTGAGCTAACATAAAAAACTAGAAATAAATCTATTCACTATTGCCAGCTTCTGTGATTTTATCAGGCAGTGTTTAGTGTTCTTCTTGAAGTGTAGTGATTTTGCCAAATAACAGTTGAAATAAAGGAGTTTTTTGCTCTGCACAGTTGCAGCAGAAAGTAGAGGAAGATAACCTAAGTGTGTGAGGTAAATCAAGAGGAACAGACTTGTCAGATTTAAATGGTTAAAGTTAAAGGTAGCAACTCTTGCTATGGATGCAAAAAGAATATACAGTTTGGCATGGGGCAGGTGAGTTTCAAGTTGTTTTACTGTCTTTGTCCTTTGATTTCTTTCAGGTAATATAGGAGGAAACAGAAAGAAAGTCAGAGGCAAAAGATTTAGGCCACGGTCTAATTCAACTGAGTAAGTCTGAATTTAAAAAAGCAAAGCCAAAAAGTAGAGTTTTCATATTTGTGTTTTGTAGATGGAAATTAAGAGTACTGAAAAGTAGACAGCTGCATTTTTGCTCTGTGGCCCATTCTGGTTGCTGACTGATAATCTTGTAAATGGTTTGGATAATGTATTTCAACCTCTTTTTATGTATTCTTTAAAAATTAACTATTAATTTTCTTTTTTTATGTAGGCTTCCTCACAGTCGTTCCCATAGCAATTCCCAGTGATGGTGGCAGCCTGCACCATCACTGCAGGCTTTTGTCTACAGTAAACTGCCATTGCTGAGTGTATCCTGGTTCAATACTGAGTTTCTGATAACCTGACTGTTTCCTACCCTTGTCTTCACCTTGGGTTGGGCCATTGCAGAGTTAGAGATTTGTGTCTCTGCATACCTTCCTGGAGATCTTAGGAGAGGCATCTGCTTTGAGAGTACCTTGAAGTTTGCCATTGTAAGCCTGAAAAAGCCAGTCTTGAGTAAGCCCTTCGATAAATGGGTAATTAAAGTCTCTACCAAGTGACTGATCCCCAGACTTTTCCACTACAGTTTTGAGTTGCTGGCTTATTGATTTATTGGTTACATTTCCCAAAGAACCCATGTGTGCAGTGCTCCCCACACTGAAAGAGCCTTTCTTATGCACTTAAGCCTCTTGGTTCAGGCCCCTCTTGTAAATGGGCGGTGAATGGCTGGAAACCTCTGGGCTTGTCAAAATCACTAGCCTGCTGTTGTACCCCACATGAATGGCCCCTTCTTTGACCATGATGGCAGTGACAGTGTCCTTCCCCATATCATGACTACTAACTTTGCACCTTGATGGGCAAATGGCCTTGGTATCAACCCTGCTGGAAGCTAATAATGCTAACTGCTCTCTGGGCCCCATTTTCTTTGATTTGGGGATTTTGAGTTTGTACTGAAACTTTTCTTTCACCTACAGTGCACTGTCTTGAGGTGAGTAGGGTTCATAGAGAAACCCCTGTGTTAAAAATTACAGAAATAATACTTTGATGCACATTGCAATTATAACATTGCATGGTCAAAATGGCATCATGGAATCAGAAATTTTAGCCCTTGGAGGAGTTTATCTCAAGAGTCTCTGTGCTCTTTGTGCTGATAAACTCTTACTGAAACGTTATTTTGCTCATTTTCTTTCCTCCTTGCATAAAATAACCATTTTATTATAAAATCAAAATTTATTATTTATATAATCAAAATTAGTCTGGCCAAAATGCCAAATACAAATGAGATTTGCTCTAAGAACTTTGGAGCACTAAATAAGTAGACAGACAGAGATACTGTGAGTTGGAAACCTTTTTCCCCTGTATATTTGTTTCTCTTTTAAAGGTGCCCCTGAATTTCCGTCTAATTCTCTGCTTTCCTTCTTGCTGCTTGTTACGGTGGTCTCTCAACCCAGCAGCAGCCCTGATGCTACAGGGAGGAGGCTGGTACTTCCCAAGGGCCATCCAGCAACCTTTCACGATGAAGCACAGTGTGTGTGTTCCTGGGAGAGGCCTGCCAGGCAGGAAAATACTCTTTCCTGATCGGGTCTGAAAGGCTTGTCCGAGTCTCCTTGGCAGTCCTGTCACCAGCTGGAGAGAGAGCTCCCGCTGAATGATCCACATGCTGTGTCAGTTCAGAGGGGAATGGAGAGAATTGCCAGGGCTATTAGAGGGCAATTATCTCTCTGGTTAGAGGGAGAGCTTGTTTTGCAAGGAGAGAAAATGAACTGAGAATGATCTAACTGTGACCAGCATTTAGTCATTTAGGGGAAAAAAAATAAAAAAAAAGCAACACCAGCTGTTTTGAGGATGCTGCAGAATATGTGGAGGCTTTTCCCAGACCAATTTACCTTTTTACCTTGTCTGGGATATACAGAATAATACTGAAATCTGTTCCGAAGCAGTATTTACAAAGTCCACCTGTGTGGCCCTTAGGAGTCCAATAAAGCATACTTGTTGAGATGGAAGAAAAAGGATAACAGTGTTGGTCTCCTGTAATTAGTAGACTGTAGTTAGCCATTCTAAAATTTGATTTATTAATGCCATACCTTGTGCAGAATTCATTTTTTTTTTTAACAGAAGCACACTGGTGTGGTTGCCTACAAAGATACCTGCATGCATGAGTCTGCAGTAACTGCACGCATTATGCACATACTTTTTTTGTATACAGCCAAGCATCAAATAATCATTTAAATAAAATTTCTTAAGGACTGAGCAAGGTTTGAAGTCTGCAGGCCTCATGAGCATCACTGACAGAGTTGCAAACACTTTGGGCAGCTCCTGGAAAATGTCCTGCTCGCACCTTAGCGTGACCCTTGGACTTAACATACATGAACAAGGCTTATGCTAAGCATGGAGCTCTGAGGAGACTGCTAAAGATATTTTGGGACATTTTTAATTGTTTTTGGATGTTTTATAACAAAATAATTATTCTTTACTAAAGGCAGATGGTTCATTACATGTGGAAGGAATGCCAGCAGGCCAAATGCTTTTTCAGAAACATGGCTGATGAAATGGCCTGATAAATAGTTCTCTATTAAAATCAGTTAGAGTTATCCAGGAATGATGAGAGTTTTCTGAATAAGTTGACAGTTTAATTGGGAGCTTGCGTTAAAACGGGTCCCAGGAACAGATAGCAATTCAGACCTTTGTTAATTTGCACTGATTTTCCTATAAGCATTTGTCTTCCTCGTTGTTGTAACTGATACGAACATCTTTGGTTTAGACTTTCTATTATATATTGTCTTTTTGCAGCCGGGTAACCCATGCATCTGAGCCTGGGCTTTCTCTCGCCCACCAAATCCCTGCCCAAGGCATAAGCCCAGGGGGTTCCGACCACCCCCAAACAGGGAGTCGGGATCACAGGTCAGTCTCACCTGCCCCTGCATTCTGGGCTGCCATTTTATCCTGTGAAAAGTCCCTTCCCTAGTATACGATAGTTTCACTGTGGCAAAACACCGTGACTGCTTGGAGGTGCTCCTGCTGATGCAGCGCTAGCTACCCTTCCTCCTCGCCAGCCTGAGGAGTACGAGTACTCTTGAGCCCAGGTCTTTTGCCTTGTTGCATGTTGCGCTACGAGCCAAGTCGAGCTGTCCGTCTAGCTCTAGGCTTATACGTAAGGACACCCTGTTTCAAAGCAGAATTTCTCACTCAAAGGAAATGTGGATTCTGGCCATTACTAATGAACATGTGGCCAGAAAGATTAGCCTGAGGGCTTTCCAATGGTTTAATGTAGTGGTCTGCGGTAACTTGAGTTTAACCTTTTTGTAACAGATGGATTGAGGTGGTGAATGATGGTCTGTAATACACCCAGATCCAGGAAACCCTGCAACATGGTTGTGCAACAATTGCATGCTTTGATAGCATCTTACAGTTTTCTAATCCAGGAAGCCAGATTGGGAGTGTTTCATGGTTACCAAAAGACACTTTCAAATGAAAAAATGCAAGTTTGAAGAATTGCAGCGAGTACAAGAAAACGTACAATTAAAGCTAAAGCAGAAGTTTATTGGCTCCTGGTGACGCTGGCATCAGCCTGTTGCTTCACTTGTGGTTCCTCTGTTTTGCTGCGCTACTGCTTTTGACCTTTTTTTTCTCTAAGACCCCAAGATGGAAAGCATAAAGCACTCCCGATTCCTGATAAATAAGCGAGCTGAGGAAGCTACTTAGAAGCACTTATGGCTGAGGGCGAGTACTTTCTGAGAGCTGTGGCTGTGCTTGCGCGGGGCGGGGAAGAGACGTTCCAGAACAAAAAAGGAGCAAAAGAAGTTGAAAAAGTGCTGCTGCTTTTGTTGTCATCATTGTTTGAAATATGGAGGGGGTTGAATGACAGAAATGATTTGGCCCAACTTTTATTCATCTGAGCAATCCCTTGCAAGGCCTGTTCCCATGTGTGAGGTCATTGCTGTCACTCCCATAAATAAGGGTGGCAAGAATTGTACCAGAAGTATCAAAAATAATTTAAAGAGGAATTTTCTTTACCATTTTCCTTGGTTAAAATTTGTTTCCTATTTCATTGTGCTAGTTTCTGTTTTATAAAGATGGTGATCACAAATAATCATTTGATTTTTGCCATTCATATGTAACAAGAACAAACTTTAAATTGGTTCAGGCAGACTCCTATTTTCTGCATCGCCCTTTTTTGTTAATGTGACAGAGGGGGAGGAATTTGCTTATCTTGTTGGTGGGAAAAAATTATTGCAAAAAAGTTTCCTTCTTCCCGGGTAATCTGTTGTCAGATAATTAAACATCATATTTATTTCATAATTTTAATGTAACTAATATGAGTATACAACTCAGAGTTTTTTTCCTAAAAAGTGTGGTTTTGGTGTCAGTATTGCTTCTGTAAAATGTGAGATAACTCTGCAGCCCACCTCCATTAAAGCCAAACTAAATGAACATTGAAAAAGCAGAGGGTTGTTTGCCTGTAAGTGTAAAAATTGTCACTATAGTGGCAAAGAATTCAAACCATTTAACGCAATGAGGCTGAAATTCATTCCTGTAAAAATGGTCGAGTCCAAGATTCTGTGCTTCTTTAGCTATTATCTTGCAATTTATCTAGATGGGTGTAAAAGTATTTCTTTGGCAAGCAAACTTCATGATTCAAGCCAAAATGCCCCTTCATCCTTGTTTTGACATCATGAGGGAGTTCAAACCATGAGCTTAATGCTGGCCCTCTGCACAGGAGTGAATTTTACCCTTAAGGCATTAAATGAATGATGTATCCCAAAGAGTTTCCAGATTAATCAAACATATGAGTCTTGTTGTAGGTCAGATTTTCTCATGCAGTTGTACACGTTGCCTAGTCCTCACCCAAATCCATACTGATTTATTTGCCATATTCACTTGCATTTTGGGGATGAAGACATCCTTGCTAAGCTTGTGCTGTGTGTTCTCAGATTTTCTATTCTTGTTCTTCTGCTTTCTCTGTTCCTTCCATTGCTTTCTGCAGGTATTTAAACCCATGGTTCAAAAGAGAA